CATTCCGTCAGTTGGAGGATTTGAACTGAACACCCTGTGTTCGTGATCAGGGTTTATTCCCCCGTCCGAACATTGATCTTCAATGCACCACCAAAACCAATTGCCAGTGTACACAATGTTCGGTCCAGTCGCAATGTTCTCCTACCTGCCGATTCACGAAGTACCTGTTCCACCCCAACCAGCCATGGAGTGTTCTTCAGGGTGACCGGAAAAAATATCGGCTGGACTGAGGTGAGTGGACTGAGGTGAGGGTGAGGTGGTGGTGAGGCACGACTTTACAGTCCAGGCCACTCACTAAGCCCCAGGGTATTCCAGAAGGGGACGGAATCGCCTCTGGTTAACCCCTTAACAGACGGAATTACCCCAAAAAAACCCGTTACCAAAAGGAATCAAAGAGGGGGGTGGGGGGTGGGAGTGGGGGGTGGGGGTTGGGGGGCGGGTGGGGGGGTGGGTATCCCCCCCTATAGGTTGCCCTACTACAAGGATAGCCCGTACGGATTCAGAAAGAAATTACTCGTTAGGCTAAGGAATCGAGCGAAATTGTTTCCGCAAGTTGGACGGACTAGGTGAATAATTGCACCGAAAACAAACGGAATAATTACCCTGTTAGCAAGAGGCCTGGTACAGTGCGCCTGCACGGATTCGCCTGCACGGATTCGCCTGTACGGATTCGCCTGCACCGACATCCCTAGCCAACCAACGGAGTTTCCTTTTCCAGACGAAACCAGCAGCCCATTGCAGACAGGCCTCTCAATGTCCCCGAAATGCCCCCTGCAGAATCCGAGTTTGTCGCGCAACCAACTCGTCCAAGCTGGGTAGCCCCAAAAATGTTGACTGTTTTTGCAGGGCAGTTTTGGAGGTCTCTCGGCATGTGCAGGGTTTCAGGGTCGTGTTCACTTTTTTTCATTGCACTTAACTTTTCCTTCCACCAATTTCATCTACAAGTGCTTGGAAATTATTATAAGCCAAATTGTGCTAAAAAGGAAAACCCGAACGATTGACTACAAGTGCAACCACCATTTCACCAATTTATTGCCGACTACAAAAACTACGCCCTACCCATAGGTAACAAATGCCCCACCTACATGAAGCACAGAGGCGTGGTCCAAGAAAACACGTTTTCCCAACCAAACCTCTATGGGGAAACGAGCTTGGCTGAGAGAGGCTTAGTTGGGGGGGGGACGAGTTTGGCTGAGTGAGGCTTGATCGGGGGGAACGAGTTTGGCTGACAGAGGCTCGTTTGGGGGAAATAAGTTTGGTTCAGAGAGGCTTGGTTGGGGGAAACGAGTTTGAGTCAGAGGCTTGGTTGGGGAATCTGCAACATCCAATCAGGGTGTGGCGCGTTTGCCGAAAACCCAAACGGGCCACTTGGGATTTCGGGAGCAGGTTTTCCCGAATCCCTCCCTAAACAGAGAAGAGGGGTTTCTAGTCGGGTAACTGGATGTTACAGGGCGATACATTCCACTACTCGGAAATCGGACGAGGAATGTTGTTGCCTAGTCTACTAGTGGACGTGTACTTCACATCTGGATGTGTAGAAAGCAGGGTAGTACACAAACATCACCCTTTCCTTGAGTAAGCATTGTAATTACCCGGACATCGAGAGGCCTGATTGCAGACCCCTTGCCAAGCCCAGCCGAGGCAGAAAGAGGGCGGGTCCAAAAAGCTCGTTCTCGCAAAATACCCTCCCAACCATTCAAGGTTGCCATTCGAACGCTGTGAAACGCAACAAAGGCTACTCCACCGTAATCAGGCGTACTATTTGGACCCGCCCAGAGATCCCGTCGTACAGTAGGCTTCTGCACTGTACCCTATCAACCCCTTTGCTTTGCCTCAGAACCAGGAACAAGACACGCCACGAAACGAATACAGCGGGTATGCCATTAGGTCCAAGACATAGTACTCCATATAATACTCCAAGGTCCGGAATTTGATAAGATCCACCACGATGTACTCCGTCTGTACGGTATACATGTACTGTTAGACTTCGCTAAAAAAGCGCAATAAAAATATTGACCAGTCACCGCAGTCGCATAGTGTCACCGACCAGCGAACCGCGCCTCCCGAATTGGGTGCGATTTCATCGTGCGAGCGTCGCCAACCAACCCGCATGTGCGTTCTCGTGAAATCCCCGTGAATTGCGTTCGGAAATGCCCAGCCAATACGCGCGCGCCATGGCGATGCTACGTAATCGCGACGGACCTGGGGAGCGTACACAGAATCACAGACAGCCCGCTAGTACCCCCGTCCAGCTGGTAGTTTTGCATGCGCGCTGAGTGGCGCATGCCTACGTACCCCCTCGGTTGAGGAGGCCGACAGAGGTCGTATTTACACTCCGCCACAGCAGCGGCTAAACAGCCACCAAACTACGTTACCTGGCTCAATCAACTGGTCACAATGAGGTTACTCAGGAGAACATCGCTGACGATTGCGATGAAGGTCGGAATCTGCCGACATGCTGAAGCACATTCACACCTTCGACTCACCGACATCGCTCGGTGGTGTTTCACGAGATACGGTATTTATCCCGACCCCAGCACCGTGGGGAAAATCCTCAAAGAGGCGGACAAGTGGAAGGCACTCGGGCCAGAGAGCTCCGCCACTCGACGTCTGCGTTCCGCCTTCTATCCTCTGCTTGAGCAGCGGCTGAAGTCATGGTTGGGCCGGGCGGCAAAGGGTGGGCTGCAAATCACCATCAGCGTCATCCAGCAACGAGCCAGGATTATGGCTCCTGACGCAGGAGTGCCGGTTGGATTTAAAGCGAGCGTCGGATGGGTGCAGAAAGCATTGAAGCGGATGGGATACAAGTGGCGGACCAGGCAGGGCGAAGCTAACGACCAGGACTTCGGCGCAGTGATGACGACAAAGGCCACATGCCCGCAGTTGCTCACTCTGCTCGCCGTCGCGCCTCGCGACTGCTTCAACTACGACGAGACTGGATGCGCTTGGAAACAAATTCCGAAAATGACATTCGCAGATGGCCCTGTGAGTGGCGGCAAAAGCAGGAAGGACCGCTTAACTGTCGCGCTGATGTGCAATGCCGACGGCTCGCAGATGTACAAGCCGCTTGTTGTGAGCAAAACCGCCAATCTGCGCTGCTTCGCACAGAAGAAATTCAAACATGCGACGAAGTGCTTTTGGCGCAGCAACGGTTCCGGCTGGATGACAAGCCAGGTAAGCGTCCTTTTTCACGTAATGCGTGTTATTTGCGACTGTGTCATTGTTGATGTTGCTTGTGTTGCCCGCTTTGTTCCATACGTTGTAAGTACGAAATCAAACATTTCACTACTTTCCCGCCGCAGTTATTCACGGAATACACCGAGCGCATCAACGCGTGCTGTTTCGCCGAGGGCCACAGCATCGTCATCCTGCTGGACAACGCTAGCTGCCATAACCTCCTGTCTCCGCTCGCCACATCGGCTGACATCCTCGGCTTCCGAACACGCGCGCTGAGCAACGTGCGTCTTGTGTTTCTCCCGCCAAACACAACCTGCTTCACGCAACCACTGGACCAGGGGCTCATCGCGACAATGAAGGCTCGGTACAGGACGTACCATACACTCGACATGTTCCGCGAATGGGACGAATTTCAGAGCGAGGGAATGTTGCTACAATACAAGCCCAACATGGTGCAGGTCATAACATGGCTGTCGGACGCGTGGTTCTCGATCGAGCCCGAGACCGTCCAGAAGTGTTGGTGGCGGACGGGAATCCTCCCTGCTAGCTGGCTCGCGAGACTCCCCCTGGTCGGCACCACCGTCGCTGAGCAGGACCATAATTTGCCTGCAGGGTTCACTAGTCGCTGCGAATTTGGAACAGCTGCTATGGGCCGACGAGGACCGCATGGATGCGGTCCAGTTCGTCACATGCGATAGCGACGATGAGATATGCGATCCTTGTGGCGAGGACCCCCTCGCTTTGGAACCTCTGGGAATTCCCGCAAGCGGCGCATGGTATCTCCGTGCACCGAAAATTTCGTAGCCAGTTCGAGATTCGCGTAATCGCCGGCATCTTAGCCGCATGGCTACAGAGATGCTGGTCGGTTATGCGCGGTCCATCGGGCTCATCCCGAGGGACCTCCGCATTCTCTTCGACATTCGGGACCCGTCTGTGATTGAGCGTCTTGAACGCGCATCTCCGCGCCTGGACCTGAACTCTGCTCCAGGGGTTGTTTAGGAAGAGTACAGGCAGCATGTGCTCTAGGCGACGGCCGTCATGGACGGCTGGGTGGACTCGGGTGAGTGGATGCGCTGAGAGAGCACTGAGAGAGCCCTCAGCGTGGCTAGTTTCACAGATAACATTCAATCTGAAATCGTGCACAATACTCTTGCATACGCTCAAATCCTTCGCAATTTTCATAGTGCTCACCCCCTTATGCAAATGCGTGGGTCCAGGAAGAGTGCGAGAAGATCGCTGCAAAGGTTTGCGCTAGCCTCGTAGATAACATGCCTAGGAGGGTGCGGGTGGTGATCAAGGCCAAGTGTCGGTGGACTAGGTACTAGAAACGATGCTCAGAAGTTTGCTATTTGTCCTAGGAAACAATTGTCCGGGTGTACTCTTTGCATATCTTTTGGCATTAAGTTAGATATAGTGTACTATCATGGATTTTAGTGCTGTGAACACATCCATCGTGTGTCCCTCCCAAAGTGTACCACCATTAAACATTAGACTTTATGTACAGTGGTCGGAAAGCCCAAAAACCCTAATCAATGCAAAACATCCGGACAATTGTTTCCGTCACTGTATAGCAAGGGACAAGTCGTTGCCGACGAGGTTTTGTCGCCACGGAACTGTGTACTACCGTCGCGTGATCGCTTTACAATAGTCGCACACTAGCAACAAACATCGCCACACAAGGCCCCCCACAAATACCCACCCATTTCACCGTCTGCTCGTGCGAAAGCCTCTTTTCCCCGTGGCGAGGGCATACGAAATGCTTGAGTGATTCAATCCCTGGCACCCTTAAATCTTGTGCGACTCTGACGAGCTTCGTCTGTACCGAGGTTCTGTTCTGTGTGTTGCCTTCCCCTTAGGCTGTGTGAGAGCGCTGGCTCGACGTGTGCTGGGGGCTGTGTGAGGGTAATTGTTGGCCCTTCACCTAATTTAGGGCCCGATTTGTGTGCCTTGGAGCTTTGTGAGGGTGGGATTCCCCTCCGCCCCTACAATTCCTCTTCCCCCTACCACGCACACACCCACTCATACACACCCCCCCCCCCCCCAATACACGCATGCATTCACACACACACGCATGCACACACACACACAAAAATGGCTTCTTGTGCGTCTAACGCTCCCCACGCGCAATTTCGCTACAGGCAATTTGCACGAGGGACCAAGACCATGTTACTAGCAAATGCGCTTTAGTGTGAAGGCTTTTTTCAAATATCAGCCTAAATTTTGAAAGCAGCTCTGATTGATCAACAGACATTTTTTAGGGAACCCTGAAAATTCAGCCTTTATTAGAGAGGTGGGGGGAGAGGGGGGGGGAGGGCTTGACGGGTCAGGGTGCCTGAAAACGAATCTGAGGGCCTGTTATGAATTAATCAGGGTAATGATAGGAAGTGTAATAAAGGAGTCGTGATTTAAGAGTGTTGATACAAATGAGGGCCTATGCATTTATAGGCACGAACAGAGCTAGCCGAGAATCACGCGAACTGGTTGGGGAGGTCCGGTTGGCGAAAGCTACGGAAGCGCCGCGTGTCTAGGTTTGGGTTCGCGAAGTGGTTCGGGACCGAAGAAGTTGGCCGAGCCTGGACTTCCGAGAGTCGAGGGCGTACACGCTGTAGTCGAGCCCAGTAAGGAAAACGAATTTCCTTATACCACCCCCCCTTCCGGGACGAGACTACCCACAGTCAGGAAACGTCATCGGTGCAAATAGTTTTGGACAACTGTGAGTTCGCCGAGCGTAGCTGCGGGAACCCAGAGGTCGTCGTCGCTTTTGCGATCGACCCATCGTACAAGGAAATCGACGGCTGCTGTATCTCGATGTCCCCGTATGCGATGAGCGAGAATCTGGGACGGCTCTGTCGTCGGCTCGCGTACTGGGTTGACCGTAGGATTAATGTGTTGACGGTCGAGATTGGTCCGCTCGAGACAAACTGTCGTAGGAGACTGACTAAGAACGAATCATGAATTCGCCAGTCGGTCGATAGGTGCAGCAGGGCGGTGGCAGGTGTCACCATGCGAATGATGCGGAATGGTCCGCAAAATCTTGGTCGTAATTTATTTGGGAGGGGAATTCCCAAATTCCTGGTGTCGAGCAGGACCAATTGCCCAGGGGCAAGTGTTAAGTCACGAAGTGCTGAGATCTTGGTGCCGGATTTTCTATCGGTGGCGATAGAGGGGTTGTCGGATCTATCCCGTAAATAAAGAAGAATGGGGACCAAGTAGTCGTGGCCGATGGGGCATTGTTGTACGCAAACTCGATCAAAGAAAATGTGTCTTCCCATTGGGCCGGGTCTGTGCATGTCGTGCGAAGCAGCTGCTCTATCGTCTGGTTGGTGCGCTCAGTCTGACCGTCCGATTGCGGGTGGTACGCCGTGGACAGATGCAGACGTGTGCCGTACTGCTGCACGTCTGTCGGTAGGTCGGCCAGTAATAATTACGGCTCAGTAATTTTACGGTTTTGTCGATGCCATAGTGACTCAAGAAATTCGAGTCATGTGCCTCCTGGATTTATAATTCCCGTAGTGTACGGTAGGCAGGAACAAAAATCCGATTGGTGCCGGATTTTAGGTAATAGGCCCCTTGCTTGAGTGTTACTGTAGTTGGGGATGATTGTTGGTGGTGAAGAATGGGTCAGTACTATATCCGTGGATGAATAGACCAGTTAGCGGCAGATTAGCTTGGGTAATTAGGACGGCGGCAATGTGGACCGAGGGGCCGTTCAGTGCGTCAGGGATGTTGCTAGCCCCTCATTTGTAGGTGACTCTCTTGTGGAAGTTGGACTCGAGGTAGTCGAGCAAGCGAATCTGTTGGGGATTCAGTGTCGGTTGGGCGCGGATGAACTGTAGCGCTTTGTGATCTGTTCGGACTGTCACGTCAACTCCCGTCAGGTAGCACCGCCAGACTTTGAAAGCGTGAACGATGGCGAGTAACTCCTTTTCGTGGATAGGATAGTTTCGCTCGGCTTGGTTCAGCTTTCGTGACTCGTAGGCGATGGGTTTGAGGCCTTCGCCAAAATCTTGTAGCAGTACTGCCCAACAGCCAGATTGTTAGCGTCGGTGATGAGCTCGAACGGACGGTGAGGATCACTATCCGAAGAACCGGATGTGTAGTCAATAAAATTTTGAGCTTTTCGAACGCAGCCTGCTGCTCTCCCCCCCACTCAAAAAACGTGCCCTTCATCAGGAGATCCGTGAGAGGGGAAGTTACCCCGTCCTTGTTAGGAATGAAACGGTGGACGTAATTGACAAACCCCAGGAAAATCTGAAGTTCTCGGAGATTAGCCAGCGGCTTCCAGTCTCGGATGGTAGCAATCTTCTTAGGATCAATCTTAACGCCGTCGATAGAGATCACATGGCCCAGTTCGTGTTTTAGAAACTCGCACTCAGAACCCTTGGTGATGAGTCGGTTTTGCTCCAGGAGAGAAAAAACTGCTTCCAAATCCTTCAAATGCTGCTCCCGGGTGGTGCTGTAGACGAGGATTTCGTCGAGGTATATGATGACGCACTTATCCAGCAGTGGTCGAAAAATCTCGTTCATGGTCAACTGGAATGTCGAAGGCACGTTTGTTTAGCCGAATGGCATGACCGTGTACTCGTAACTCCCGTACCGGATCCGAAACGCCGTCTTGTAGCAGTCAGCTTCGTTCACGTGAATCTGGTGGTAACCGCCTCGCACGTCAATCTTCGAGAAAATCTGGCCCCTCGAAGCTGGTCGATGAGTTCGTCGCCATGTGGAATGGGGTAGCGAGATTTGATGGTAACCCGATTCAAGGCACGATAGTCGATACACATACGGAGACCGCCATCTTTCTTCGGGGTGAACAGAATCGGAGTTGCAAACAGTGATGTGTTGGGGCGAACGAAACCTTTCTCGAGCAGGTAGTCCAACTGGCGTCGAAGTTCATCCAACCAGGGCTGGGTCAACCGCCATTGGGTCCGAACAGTAGGTTGCGCGCCGGGCTCGAGCTCGATTTTGTGGTCATGCGGTCGCTGAGGTGGCAAGCCCACCGGTAGGTCATCAAGAAAAATGTCGGCGTGGTTCCGAATCACGATTGCCAAATCATCCGGGACAGCTGCGCAGAGTTTGTCGATGTCGGTCGGCGTGTCGACAGCCGTTGATGCGATCCATCGGATAGCATACAGCTGCGCTCCTCGAATCATCGCTTGCTTGATAGTCACCGTGCTGACCGTCGATGTGGTTGAGTCTTAACTGCTCCACTTGGGTAGTCGTCGTCACTCGTCATTCCACTTGATGCGACAATCGCCCGTCCGCCAGTCGATGCTTGGGTTGTACTCTCGCAGCCAATCGCGTCCCAGCAGCATGTCGCACCCGTCCAGAGTTGTCGCCAGCATCTTCATCGTGAAGCTGAAATTTTCACCACAGGTGACTCGCACATGAGGCACGCGTTCCCGAATCGCCAATGGGGTGCCATCAACCAACCTCGCGTCGATTTCGGGCATGCAGCACTCCTGCTGTAATCGCAGTTTTTTCACGTTCGTCACATCCATCAGACTGTGGCTTGCCCCGCCTTCAACAAATATTTTGATGCGGGTGTCGCCGACTCTTCCTTCAACCAGCACAGGGCGATCAACCAGTTCATCCCCCTTATTCAGCCAGGAATGTTCGATAGCCCAAATCGGCACTATAACCTAGTGGGGGTGTTGGCGTTTGGGCGACGTTATCAAGTCAGTAGGTGGCCCATCGGCTACTGACGATCTCCATTTCCCGACGGTTTCCCGTCGTTAGCTAAGTTCTTCTTCAGCCGCGGGCAGTCCTTCACCATGTGACCCGACTTGTTACAGTAGAAGCAGCATCAGAAAAATACCCGGGATGCAAACACATCCACGCCGTTGATTGATGTGTGTTGGGGCTGGCCTCGAAAGCGATTTCCCTCCTGGAAACCCGCCCTCACGAGTCCACGCCTTGTGTCCAGCGCATCCGCGATTCGGACAAACTCGTTGAATGTCGCCGGGGCTTGTAGGACAATCTCTTACTGAATCTTTGGCTTGAGACCACCCACGTAGTGATCGATTCGCTCATCTTCGCTAAGCCCTCCAATTTGATCAGATAGTGCCAAGAATGAAGCTGTGTATTCTTGAACAAAGCCCAACTATCTCCACATCCAAAGCCTTGTGCGAGCGTTTTCGCGCATGGATATGTGCTCGAATCGGCTCTTCAATGCTTCGCCCCACGCTTTCCACGCGCGGGTCGTGGCCGACCCAAAGATCAGTTCTGCCTTAGCCGTTGAAAAAACGTGCTCCCCATCTACCGCCCATTGATTCTTTGCTGGGGCTCCTCCCTCATCCAAATGCATGCGCCACCAGTTGATTGCCGGTCCCCTAAGCAGCAACACAGCCAAGTTGACACGTAACGCATTGTCATTAATACTTGCTGCTGTGAAGAAGATTTCCATGGCGAACAACCAACCGCTCACTATAGTTGATCTGTCAGTCAGGTTGAATGGCGGTGGCATCGGAGGTTTGATTTTAATGGTCACCCGCGGCTCGCTTTGGACTACTTCAACTGCTTCAGGTGTTGCCGACGCCCTTGCTTCGCTCGCAACATCTTTGCCTCGGGTAACAGGCCGTCCTTGGCGCGTTTCACCCCATGCTTGGCGAAGCAACGAGTTTTCGTTGCGCAGCGTCTGCACTTCGCTTCCCATCGTCTCGAACTTCTCGGTGAGTTGTTGAAGTTGGGCTTGCAGTGTTGTCATTGTAGCCGCCCTGGCTTGCAACTCGTCAAACTCATCCTGAGCCACGTTCCTAACACCACGACGGGCAGAGGTTTCCGGCGTGATAGGCATGCTGGGAATTTTACCTGACATATCTCAGGTTGCACACGCTTCTAGTTGGAGGAGCTTTAACGAGCTCACCTACCAACCGCAGGCCAACCCTCTATTCCTGTCGGGTCATCTCCTTATATAAACGAAATACTCTACGGAAGACTAACCGTAAAGGAATGGGGCTCTGATACCAGCTGTTATGAATTGATCAGAGTAATTACAGGTAGTGTAATAAAGGAGTCGTGATTCAAGAGTGTCGATACAAATGAGGGCCTAGTAATTTATAGGCACGAACAGAGCTAGCCGAGAATCACACGAACAGGTTGGGGCGGTCCGATTGACGAAAGCTACGGAAGAGCCGCGCGTCTAGGTTTGGGTTCGCGAAGTGGTTCGGGACCGAAGAAGTTGGCCCAGCCTGGACTTCCGAGAGTCAAGGGTGTGCGCGCTGTATTCGAGCCCAGTAAGGAAAAAGGAATTTCCTTACAGGTCTGGTCTGGTGTTCGGCAGAACGCTCGTGTGCCGTGCATTTGTGATCCACTGTTCTCGCTTGTTTTGATCTGGCCCCATCCAATGATGGATGGATGTACAAGCGAGCTAACGGGGTAAAAGGGCAGAGTTAGATTGCGTGTAAATCACACGGTACAGCATACCTGACACGTGGAAGCAGATGCTGCCCGAGTGACAAGTTCGTTTGATGCTGGAGGCAATTTTAGCCGCCCTCTAACACCGGTAAAAATGGCGTCTACCAGTCAACTTTAGTGTCGCATACGTTGACTATCAAAAAGCCCCGAAACAAAAGAAACAAACTAGCATGCATGTTGTTCTGAATTAAAACTCAGAGTGTCGTGCAGTATTCAATCAGGGGAACGAGATTACAGAGTGTCGATAGAAATGAGGCCTAGGCAATATATAGGGCGATTGACCAGGGTTGAATGTCGAGGGTTAGACCATTCAAGGGCTCGATAGTCCCGAGGGTGACAAGGTCAAATTGGGTTCAGGGCGACTCGGGATCGGATTGGGTTTGAATAGGTCGGTGAAGGCTGGTTTGGCGCGTGACTTGAGGGCCGAGCCTGCGGATGCAAATTGTTCGCGTGTACTTGCTGTGGCGAGCCCCAGTAATGAATCGTAATTCCTTACACTCTCCCACCTTCTAAAGGAAGGCACTCCCTTCATCCAGGTCGAACAGTAAATAAAAGGAATCCTCGATGTGACGAGCGTAATGATTACGCTGGCCTGACGACGTCTTCAGGTCAAACTGTGATCAAAGGTCAGAAAGCGTCGAAATGATCGCTTTTAATGGTGGTAGTCGACAAAATATCGAGTTGTTGAGCCGACCGAATGGGAAAGGGTAAGTACTCCAGCGGAAGACAGTAAACAGTAAGTCTGTCAAGTGGGCGATTGATGATGACGAGTGGCTGTTGGATATCTTCCCTAATGATTACTGCCAAATAACGTGGATTGTCGGATGACAAAGAGCCGTTCATCAACACGCGAGGTCGTTTATGTCACGTTCAAGAACACCTGTCGATGTCTCGCAAAAGTCACTGAACTTCGTCAATTGGCTGACAAACAGTGGCGAAGCATGGAGCTGAATTTGATGTCGGTCGGAGATGGAAAATGGAGCACACCTGAAGGGTCTGGCAGCACATGTGCCCTTCTCTCCCCCCCCCCCCTCCAAGAAGGAACAGCTCCCAGCTTCCCATGTAAAACTCCAGAAAACCCAATGCTCCAGGGTAGTCGAATACTGCTCACTGCTGCGTAAAATTCGCATAATCAGCTTCGAAGATATTGTTAAAAAATATCCCCGAGTGAATAAACTCGAACCATGAAACTCCATGCAAATAGCCGTGGTGCAGCTATAAGTTTTGGTGTCGGCGTGGAGCAGCAACAGCAGCAGTCGCCACTGATGTCCGCCCTTCGACTGCTCGGCCTTCCCTCCCCTGACCACCCACCCGTGCCTTCCACGCCGCCGCCTCCTCTGCCTGTCTACGGCCCTGTGTTTCCTCCACCGAACTTGTCCTTGGCTCGTTTCCCCCCTCGTTCTCCTCTTGTAACTCCTCCTGTGTCTCCTAACCCAACGCCTCCGTCCAACTTCTAGTCTCGTCGTCCGTCTCGTGCTCGTCCTGTCTCTCCTGTCCAGCGCTCTCACCCCATGTTGCTTCGTTCCCACGCATCTCGTCCTCCCCTCCTCCCCTCACCTCCTCCGTCGTCGCTCGTTTTCCCTCCGTCCCCTCTGTTTGATTACCTTCGTGCTGCTCGTCCTTTTGTCCCTCGGGTCCTTGTCTCCCTTGTTACTAACCCGTCTGTTCCTGTCTCGAGTCTTGATGCTCTTGTTGCTGCTGTCACTAACTTCGCCCCTACCCGCCGCCTTGACTATGCCACATCTCTGGTCTTTAACCCTGCCTGCCCTCCATCTGTCGGGGGTGCTCCTTCCCTTGGCAGTGACGTCCTAGAGGACAGGCAGTACGAGCTTTCTTTCCTGTCTGAGGTCACTCCCCATCTATGTTCCATACTGCTAGTCCCTGAGGGTGACCCAAACGCCCTTGACATTTTGACCCCTCGCACTTACACTGAGGCGACCTCGGGACCCTGTGCTTCTCAGTGGATAGCTGCCATGGAGCAGGAGATGGCATCGTAGAGATCCACCGGCACCTTCGTCGTCGCGGTTCCCCCATCTGGAGTGAACGTAGTCGATTGCCGGTGGCTCTTCAAGGTGAAGCGCCCTCCTGGAGAGCCGCCTGTGTTCAAGGCGCACTACGTGGCTAGAGGCTTTTCTCAATGTGAGGGTGTGGACTTCGTTCAGACCTTCGGCCCGACCCCGAAGATGACTACTCTTCGGGCGCTGCTACACGTGGCAGCACAGCGGTACTACGAGCTACACTCCCTCGACTTCTCCACGGCGTTTCTTCAGGGCAGTCTACACGAGCAGTTTTACCTGCGCTGTCCACAGGGCTTCAACGGTACATTCCCTTCTGGGACCGAGTGGCTCCTCCGGCGCCAGGTCTACGGCCTGCGGCAAATGCGCTGTGAGTGGCACGACACACTGCGTGCTCCTCTTGCTGACCTGCAGTTCTTCCCGTCGTCTGTAGACCCCTCGCTCTTCGTTCGTACTGACCCCATTCTACATCCTTGTCTACGTAGACGAACTGGTATTTGCTACTGCAGACAGAGACGCACTGGCCTTCGTGAAGGCTGAGCTATTGAGGAGACACACCTGCACTGACCTAGGAGAGCAGCACCGCTACCTTGGCCTACAGATCTCCAGGGACAGAGCAGCGCGCACCATCACTCTCACACAGTCACACCTGGTGCGCCAGGTCCTTCAGAGGTTCGGTATTCAGCTCTCCTCTGCACAACCCACACCTCTGCTAATAGACCACATGCTCTCTGCTCTTGTTCCTGATGAGTCAATAGAGCCTAGTGGTCATTACGCAGAGCTGGTGGGTTGCCTCACATACCATATGACTTGCACTCGTCCAGATCTCGCATACCCTCTTAGCATCCTGGCTCGCTTTGTGGCCACAGGGAGACACCGACCACATCACTGGTCGGCAGCTAAGAGGGTTTTGCGATATTTAGCAAGTACATCTGGCATGGGACTTGTGCTAGGAGGACGCAGGCCAGTGGTCCTTACAGGGCACACAGACGCTTTGTGGACAACGACGCTGAGACACTCAGGTCCTCCCAGGGCTACTGCTTTAGCCTTGGTTCAGGTGCCATTTCGTGGAGGTCCACCCGCTAGTCGTCTGTCGTCCAGTCTAGCTATGAGGCTGAGATCTAAGCCGGTGCCATGGCGGCACAGGAGCTCCGCTGGCTGACCTTCTTGCTCACCGACTTAGGTGAGCGGCCTAGCTCTGCGCCGGTTCTGTATGCTGACATCAGGGCCATGATTCTCCTGTGTCAGGAGCCTCGACTCGAGGGCAGAGCAAAGCACATCCAGCTGCGGTACTTCCTCCTGCGCGAGCTACAGCAGGGCCGCCATGCCCGCGTAGTACACCTGGCCTCCGGTGCCAACACAGCTGATATCTTTACTAAGGCGCTTGCGCTTAAAGATCATCAGCGGCACTGTTTGCAGCTTGGTCTAGTTCCTATAGCTCCTCACTTGCTAGGACCTTGATTGTGTACTCCTCTTTATATATACCTTCTTGACTGGCCTTATGGCTTCTCTTCCAGTGGCCGGACTAGTAGTGCCGCCCTGGTTTGCCCTTGTCAAGTTTGTACTCTTGTTGACTGGTCTTCGGACCTTTGTCTCGGAGGTTGGACTAGGTAGTAGTGCCGCCCTTAGTTGCTGGTCTCTTGCCAAGCACTGCCCCTTGTCCAGTCCAGGGGGTGTGTCAAACATATTGGTATATGTTACTGTAGCCTATATAGGGGCATGCCTTAGAGAGTACAGCACATTAGGTCAAAACTACCGTGTACCCTTCTTTCTAGTTTCATTCAGCTACTCTGAGAGATGCAACATGGGGGCATCCCTTACCCTACAAAGAACCCCCTGCAGGGTCAGCTGAGCCTGAAGCCCCTTCTGCTGGCTGCAGACGTTACAGCACCCTCTATATTATTGCAATCACCAATATACTGCTCCACACCAAACACGTGTGAGCGACATTAGACGAGGGGTGAGTGAGTGATTGAGGTTTATGCGGAGGGTGATGGCGAGGAGGGAGGGAAGGGTGGACAGGCAACAGAGAGCACTCGGCACTCCAGTGAGTCAAGATCCACCTGCAAGGGTAAGCACGGCGAAACAAGGGGAAGCAGGGCGAAAGAAGGGGAAGCCGGAAAATGAGTAACAGTAAACTGAACAAGAACGATCTACGATGAGCGACAAACGGAGGGAAAGTCTGAGCAGGAAATAGGGATTCTTTTTTAGGGCGAATTAACAGGCAGGGAATACGAATGATCCATAATGAGTGTTGTGAACGAGAGGAAAGTTGTGCAAGAGAGAGGAAGGAAACGGAAGAGATAGCATAAAGGAAAGGAGAGGATGCAAGAAAGAAATGGGAGGAGAGGGGAAGGAAGCAGTAAAGGATGCTAGCACCCAAATGGGGGAGCTGTGGCATACACACAGCAGAGCACACACAATGGTAGAGCAAAACAGTAACACGCGCACACCCACACACACACACACACGCACTCACGCACGCACGTATGCGCGCACACACACACACACACACGCACACATGCACACACACACACACACACACACGCACACACACACACACACGCACACGCCCACGCACGCACACACACACACGCACACGCCCACGCGCGCGCACACACACACACGCACACGCCCACGCCCACGCGCACACACACACACACACCAGAACAGCTTGACATGTCTCGGAGAACTTGGGGATAGCAACCAGGAGAACCACCTGCTTCTGGGGACCTACACACAGAGCAGCAGGCACATGTGCATCACAGCGGGAGACAGGTGCATTACACAGGACGACACGGAAAATACGGAGAGTGGGCATGCAAGCAGGAGCTTGTAACGGATTGTAAGACACTCAGGAGCTTGCATGCAGGAGATACCCTGCTGCCTATCAGCGTATGCACAGCGTATCCGTGGCCGTGCCCGCAGTTCTGGTCATCGAGACAGACAGACTGACACAAACACACACACACGCACACCTCTGGGAAAGGGAGTTTGTGTTTGATGCACCTCAAGAACGTGTATAGCCGTGCTCGCATCTCTAATCAAGACTGACACATACCTCTGACGAGGCGAGTGGCGAATCGCGGCTGGTTGCCAGCAAAGAAGACGTGTGGGCAGGTGGTGAGCACAAAGGGGTCGTCCAGCTGAAAGGGGTACACGCCTGTAGGTCGAGGGAGGAACACAACTGACATTATTATGAGACGTCTTGGGAGAAGCTGTGTGGACAGGTGCTTTTGAATGGAGTCAAAAGCGATGGGACATCACGGAACGCATCTGAAGAAGCTGTGTGGGCAGGTGGTGAGCGCAAAGGGGTCGCCCAGCTGAAAGGGGTATATGCCTGGGGGTGCAGGGAAGCACAGAAATTATACAATGAGATAGCTGTGATAGCACACAAGTCCAGTCTCAGAAGAAGATGTGTGGGCAGGTGGTGAGCGCAAAGGGAGGATGTGTGGGCAGGTGGTGAGCGCAAAGGGAGGATGTGTGGGCAGGTGGTGAGCGCAAAGGGGTGGCCCAGCTGAAACGGGTACACGCCTGCAAGAGGAGGGAGAGGGGCAAAGAGCGCAGCGGGACCGAGAGGATAACAAGGACAAGTCGAGTGAAAGTAGAAAGAATGCAAACTTCAACTCCCCTCCCCTCCCCTTCTCTCTCCCTACTTCCCGTCACTCTCCCCTCGCCTCCCCAAAATTCTTCCTTCCCTCTCGTTTCCTGTCCCATCCTCTCCTCTCATCTCTTTCCCAATCCCTCCCCATTCCCTTCTCTTTCCCTCCCCCCCCCACTCACCCAGCGTGTCAGGAGCACTGGGGGCGATGTGTCTCCACTCCAGGCACCGCTGCATCAGCTCCAACACATCTGCCTCCTCCTCTGCCTCCCTCCCCTCTCCCTCATCTCCCCTTCCCTCCTCCGCACTTCCTTCCCTCCCCTTGCTCCCCTCCTCCTGCCGCTCCACTCCCTCCATTGGCTCTGCCTTCCCACCACCACTGCTACTTACACCACCAGCATCACCAGCCGCACTGGCATCAGCATCAGCAGCACCCGCAGCAGCGGCAGCAGCAGGGCGGGAAGGGGTGCGGAGCAGGCGGGCAAGGCAGAGGCGGCCCATGTCATGAATGTTCTGGCCCGACGTGCCCAGGAACCGCACCCCGCCCAACGTGAAGTGGTGCGGGTTGGTGGCGCGGATAACAGATGCACGGCGCGAGGCCAGGGGCAGCAGACACGGGTGTAGCGGCTGGGGAGAGAAGCAGGGCGGTGGGCGGGGGAGATGTGGGGGGGGCGAGGGGTAGGGGTGGGGGGGGTGAGAGAAGAGGGTGTTAGGGGAAAAGCGGGAAGAGATTGGACTTAAATCCCCTCTCCAAATCTCGACATTTGAAGTTCCCGATACAGACAATCCCAACAGGCCCCATGCACAAGACTCTCCCAACACGGAGTCTCACAAGAGTCTTGCTGGCAAGAAACGGCCGTGTATGTGTGTGCATCGCTCTCCCATCACATCCCCGCCCCACCAGCCCACCTCACTCACTCCGTGTTCGTTCCCCCCCCCCTCCTCTCTCACACACCTCGCCCTTCCCACCCCACTCACCAATGCATGCTGCTGCAACACAGGGATCATGCCACACCACCCACCACAATCACAGAACATGCCAGATTTCCCTTTCCGGAAGTCTCAATGAGCCCGCTCCAAGCTCCTCCCTCCCCTACCATCACCCAGCCGAATCCCCTCTATCTACCAGTAAATCTGCAGCCTTTCCCCACACCCAAGCGCCCAACCCACGCATCCACCCCACGCACTCATCCCCTCCTGTGCACCCACCTGCTGCGGCAGGGAGTAGTTGGCGGGGTCACACTCGCCAGGCATAACGTCCACCGGCACAGCGGCGGACAGCTGGGGATGAGGGGGGGTTAGGGGGGGAGAGGAAAAGGAAAGGGGGGAGAGCGGGCATGGAGGAGTTGAGGAGTGAGGCTAAAGGAGCGGGTGATATAAGGTTTGTTTTGAGACGTCTCAAAACAGAGCGGGCATGGAGGAGTTGAGGAGGAGGGATGCTGTAGGAGCGGGTGAGAGGGCATGGAGGAGAGGGTGGGGTCACTGGCACCGAGTACGATGTGGTGTCTACCGGCACAGAAGGGGCGAGCTGGAGGGGAGAGGGGAGAAGGAGGAAAGGTTGGGCCTTTGAGGGAGGGAGGGAGTTCGGGGGAGCACAAGCAGCCTTCTACAGCTACGCAGGCTCGGTGACAACGCACGCTACTCTGCAGCGCTAACAGACCAGGCAAAATGCGCGACTATAGCAGCCACGTGGGGGGGGGACGGGGGAGGGCAGAGCGGGGGGGGGGAAGGGCACACGGGAGCAATTAGGGGGCAGCAGAGTACTCACCTCTGCCAGGAAGGTATCTAAGGCCTTGACTGGTGCTGCCATGGCCCTGGCATCACGGTGCATGAGGGACTGGGGGGGGGGGTGGGAGGGGAGGGCGGATAGGAGCAGGTGGGGCCAGGGATGGGAAGACACAAGACGCACAAGAGACACGAGAGACGCACGAGTGTGGGGATGGATGGGTGTGTGAGTTGCATTTAGTCTGTTGGCCAGATGTGCTGTTGGCGAGATGTGGGGGCGAGCCGCGAAAGAGTGAAATAGCAGGTGAGCTGGCTGGTGGGTGAGAGAGAGTGAGAGTGTGAGTGAGAGTATGAGTGGGTGGGAGTGGGAGTGAGTGAGAGTGGGGACATACAGTGGAGTTGACAGTGTCATGCAGGGAGTGAGGGAGGTGGGAGAAGGAGCACGAGTCCCCTGCAATCACCACACGCACTATCCCCGCACTCAACCGCTCCTCCTGAGAATAGAACAAAAACAAATATAGGAGGAGCGTTGGGAGAACAAGAGGCCGTAAGAGGAAGTGGGGTGGGCAAGTGGACGGGCGCTCAGGTGAGGGGCGGAGGAGGGAGGAGTGGGGGGAAGGGAAGGGGGAGAGTGATGGAAAAGGGTTCAAGCAAATGGGTGAAGGGAGCCATGGAGGGGAAACTGTGCGAGAGAATGGTGGATGGTGAACCTGGAACACGACACGGGATACCTGGAAGGAAGAGAGCATGCCCAGTCCCCTCCCCTCCCCCTTGCCTCCCCTCCCCTCCCCCTTGCCTCCCCTCCCGTCCCCCTTGCCTCCCCTCCCCTCCCCTCCCGTTCCCTCCCTTCCCCCATCCCCCTGACCTCGTCCGAGTGCACGTGGCCTGTGAGCACGTCCAGCAGCATCTCATCGAGCACCAAACGGTGGCGACACACGCCACACGAACAGCCCCTTCTTCCCCACAACCCCCACCTCCCCTCACCCCCACCACACCTCCCCCCACCTTCTCTAATCCCACTGACCTCGTCCGAGTGCACGTGGCCTGTGAGCACGTCCAGCAGCATCTCCTCGAGCACCATGGCGTCCCCGCCCCCCTCTGCAGCACCCTCTGCGCCATGCCCCTGGGATGGCAGCGGCGCGCCAGCAGGCGGGGTGGGGGGGGACGGCGCCGCAGCCCCAGCAGTGGTGGTGGGGACTGACAGATGGAGACCCGAGAGGAAGGCCACGTAGCGGGGGAGAGAGGGGTTGGCTGGGATAGGAGAGGGAGGGGGGGGAAGGAGAGGGGAGGGAGGGCGTTGGGGGGGGGGGGAGGAGGAGGAGGATGGGGGGGGAATAGGGAGGGGACAAAGGAAGTGGTTGGTACAGAGAGGGGGAGACCCGAGGGGAAGGCCACAAAGCGGGGGAGAGGAGGGGCGACTGGGAAGGGAGAGGAAGGAGAAAAAGGAGGGAGAAGGAGAGGAGTTGGCAAGGAGGAAGCGAGGTCGTCTGTTGAGTGGCCCAGCTGGCACTCACGAGATAAGCAACACAGCAGAGCAGGTTTGCTGCTCAGGATTTTGGTTGGTCACGTACGTACATGCGGATAGCAGTGTCCCACGTGTCTCACCCTGGTTGGCTGCAGCACGCGTGTCGGCAGCAGCAGCAGTGGGAAAGAAGTCCTGCCACGGCATGCCTGGTTCCAGCACCTCCATTGCGCGGAAGTTTCCCTTGCTGTCCTCACAGCCCCGCACTGCCACCACCACACCTGTAGCGGCCACATGCGATGGCCAACATGCATGCCATGGAAGGCACATGGGGTGGCAGGCACATGGGGTGGCAGCACGCACAGACAAGCACAGCGAACAAACGCAACGAACGGACGAAGAGTGGAGGAGAAGAAGAAGGACAACGGGGTGTCAGGCAACAACTGCAGCACCCATCGCAAAGCAGCAACCCACGCACAACAACATTGCCCGATGCAACAACACAACAACACAACACCCACACACCCACACACCACCCCACCTGTGACCCAAGCAGCGGGGACAAAGACATCCCCGACGAGCTTGACGCGCCCCCTCTCGTCCTCTAGCACCACAGTGTCGTCCGCCCCCACCACACTGCCGCCCCCCACCGCCACCAGCGGCGCGCTTGACCGCTATGGGAAGGAGGGATGGTGTGACGGAGGAGAGAGGGAAGGAGGGGAGGGGAAAGGAGGGGGCAGAAAAAGGGGAGGGTGAGAAGCGGGAGGAGCAGAAGGGGAAGGCCAAGAGGTGGGAAGTGAGGGACGGAAGGAGGGGGAAGAGTGGGGGAGGGGGAAAGGGGGGGCTGTACGAGAAGACAGAAAGGCTTGACTGCTGCTCCCCCATTACACAGCAGAATGAAACAGCGATACTGTCAGACAAGAGCTCGCACTCTAAAGGCGGGAATGCATCTGCTGCACTGGTACTTGTCAAGAAACCAGAGGAGCCCCGGAGGGAAACAAAGCAACAGAAAAAAAAAAAAAGGAAATGAAAGGGCTTCAGAACAGAGGAGCATCGACAGGGAAGGGGAGTTGGGAGGAATACAAGGGGCAGTCTAGGCAGGAGGAGAGGAGGCCCCGCACGGCACGGCTAGCTGACCTCTCTGCCGTAGTCTTGCAGTATGCTGGGCTTGAGCTTCATGTGCTTGTATAGTGTCCCCACCACCACGCACTCGCCCTTGTCGGCTAGATCCAACACACTGCTCACTGCGCATGGGGTGACAACGCATGGGGTAACCACTCATGGGGCAACCATGCATGGGGTAACCACTCATGGGGCAACCATGCATGGGGTAACCACTCATGGGCCAACCATGCATGGGGCAACCACACGTGGTGTGACACAGGTGGTGCAACAACACACAACCCCACCCTCACACATAACGACCATAACAATGGAGCGTTGACGATTACACCCATGACATCCATGTGCGGTTACACCGCATGCGGGAGCATGGGGGAGAAACACATGTCAGGGGTCAAGACTCAAGGTCACCTCTCACAATGCGCGGGAACGAGAGGAGCCCAAACACGTGCCCATCAGCCACGTGGCAGGCTGATCGCAGCGCACCTGGCAGGTTCCAGGTACTCAAAAACTCTCGAAGCGCATATACTCCGCACCTGGTAAGTGAGGCCATTTCTCTCGCGCCGCCGCGAGGAGGACGGGTCGCAGCGTGGCGAGACGGGAGAAGTAGAGCGACGCGAACTGCTGGCTGCGGTACTTGTGCTGCGTGATTATAAAGGGCGCGTCGTCCTGCGAAAGGGCAACCACACACACTCACACGCACGCATGCACGCATTCACGCACGCACACACACACACACACACACACACACACACACACACACACACACGCACACACACACACACACACACACACACACACACACACACACGCGCGCGCGCGCCGACATTTTTTGTTTTTGACCCTCATACAACACTTGGCCATCAAAGCACGGAGAGATGCGATGGCCTATGCCACGAGCGAAGCACACCTGGCAGCTGTACTCCGCTGTGGCGCGCTGCCGTTTATAAGCATCGCCTGCAGGGACAGACGTGGGCCCTGTGCTAGGCGCTGGCGATGGCATGCTGGCTGGCACGAACCTCAACTGTCCACGGGAGACTGGCGAAAAACGGAGAAAAACAGGGAAGAACGGAGTCGCGAGAAGGGAAGCAGGGACGGACCCAGATGTGAAGGGGACAGCAAAAACGGAGGCTTGAAGCTGATGGTGTGAGCGAAGGGTGCGGGGAATGCTCACGGCATACAGTTTTTGAATTGACAAACTCTTTGTTAGCGGACTCGTTTGACGCCACGCTATTCTTTGTTTTTAAGTCGTTCTGAATATTTGAGTGCCAATATAGCAGGGGTATAGCATATGGAATCACTATAACTGAATCTTTCCTACATATCATCCATACTCCTTAAATTACAGAAAAATATATTCATCGTGTCTTGAACATAATATGGATCTATTTTAGGAAATGGGCATGTTATGGCACATTGTGATTCTCGAACAATATAGCATCTACATCGAACAAACAATGAGTTTCGGTACCACTATCGAATGCCACCAAGACGCTGCCTTGTTTCCGTTTGATTTCCCGCCTCGTTTTCAAACAGGTGCGGCACGCATCTCTGGCCCGTCCACCTGACAACTCCACCTGAACTGAAACCCTCTTCGGTCTACTTTCGTTCCAAGCCCCCACCCCCAGCCGCCGCCGTCATTCCCTGAGCCGAGCAGATCCTTCAGGCCAGACGGGGTTTCAAAAGTTTTTGGATTCTTGATTCCCGTCTTTCAGGCAAACCAGAAACAAGCAAGCAGGTCAAGGCAGCCAGCCTCAGGCTCAGACAAGGTTTCCCATCAGTGGTTATCAGAGGCAGCTCTTCTTTTCTTTCTTGAACCCGCCTGGCAAGCAGGTTTTACTTACCACCAGTCCATCCGCCTCACTTGGCTGTCTTCTTTCATTGGATCTTCATACTTATATCATAGTCGCAAGGCACTCCGGAAGCCGCCAGCTCCTCCGCTACCACACGTCACCTCATAGAAGCTGGAATATATTACGCAGCAGAAGTAGAAGCGCGTTTCACGCATCCGGGTTTTAGACGACGAGGAATACGAGATTCTGTAGCGGTCCTTGGGTCATTCCACCTGCTGATGGCTGCACTGCGGACGATACAGCGAGAGAACCTTATCGGCGATGAGAATGCGTGGACCCCTTACCACGGCGCTAGGAACAAGGGAAATGCTGCCGAGAGGACGCCTCGTCCTGCTGGAGGTGAGCTTTTTCGATTGCCTTTTTTCCTCCTAGTATGATGCTCTAGCAACGGCCGTGGTGTGTTAAACTTGTCGATTTTCCCGGGGTGAGCCTATGTTCTTCTCTTTTAATAACCTCACAACCCTTGTGTCGTCATTCACTTTGTTTTCCAGGGTTTGGAGTTGACGTGAAGGATCGCATGGTTGCTCCAGGGAGTTCCATCCGTGCATTTGGCACGGAGCTGCGCAACACTCTAAACTCCCACCGCGTGGTTCCGAGCACACCAGTTTCCAAGATGGGTTCCTTCATGCCCGTGGCTCCTTCAACCACCATTAAGGGAGGCCGGTCGGCTCTACGGAACGTTACCAACGAGAACGAGCCAACGACCCAGATGAAGCCATCTGTCAAGCGCAGATTCGGAGATGCCCTGACGAACACCTTCCCGCAGCTAGATCTGGAGAGTCTGAATGTCAATGTTAACACCGTCCAGAAAGCCCAGCCATCCATGGCCAGTCGACTCAAGCCTCGAGAAGGGACTCGGGAGAAGGAATCCGGCGAGTCAGCTCTTAAGAAGGGTCAGGAAAGTAACACGCAAGCCACCGGAGTTGCTGACGTCAGGATGTCGCTACCTTTCTCGCAACTAGAGCCAATTACCTCGGCGGTTCAGGATCTCACGATTGGGAAGGACGCGAAAGTGAAGGTGAAGGTGAAGACGGAGAGGGAGCTGATTGCGCTGAACGACATCGATGCACTGGCGGAGCTCTACGCGGCTGATGGCGTGGAGAGGATGCCGATGGATGGAGATAGCTACGAGGCAGTCATCAGGGCTCAGGATGAGGAAGGTAAGAGGTACCTGATTTGAACGCGGTCGAAACTGTGAGATTAGTTCAGATGACTTTTTCAGAAGCTTTCCATCTGAATTCCGCATTTTTTAACGGGGTTCTTTTCTGCTGTCCCATCTTACTACCTGCCTGCGGTTTGCTGCCTCCTTGTCTTTCAGAAATTCGTCAGCGCGTTGAGATGGTTAAGTCTATCCGCGTCGATCCTCCATGCCTTTATGGCCTCTGCAAGCAACAAAAGGTAAGACTTCGGCCTCACAGCATCAGCTTCGGTGATGCCATCAGCACCTAGACAGTAACTCCTTGACCGGCTCAGAACCATGTAAATTTGTATTTTGACGCCATGATCGCGTTTTCCAATGTGCAGGATCCGGATATGATACCTTTGATGGATGATCCCCCCATGCCGTCACCTCCTGGAGGTAGGTTATGGGAGTAATAAATTGGTTCTTTAGACTCGAACTGTCTGACGGCTGTCGTTTGCACTGCTAACCTCCTCGTTCCTCCCACATTGCAGGTTACCTTCCATCCCTGTCTCTGATGGATGGTGATGATTATCTTGATGACCTCCAAAGCTTCCCAGAACTGGACTACCTGGAGGTGGGATGGAGTGCACTGGAGTGAGGATTATGAGATGTGGAGGGTGGCACTATGTCAGTAAAGTTTGCAGCGAAGGAATGTTTGGTAAATAAGGTGGTGTGTCCTGATGCGGAGGTCATTCATCATGACCCCCTGTTGGTAGTACAGCCACCATCTTGATTCGGATCTCTTTGTAGATATTGGCAATAAATGGGGGGAATGTGATGGTTTTGAGAGTACAGATACTGTTCTCCAGTTCTTGGACATACGGTATTGAGTGTCTGGCATATCCAGTATGCAATCGAACATCATGCAACATGACCTCCTAAGAGCCATCAGCACACATTACTTGGCACGACCTGACTCATGCTCTCTCAAAACGGTAACGCCTGTCTTTCTCCTCGATTGGATAGTCTGCAATTGGCAAGAAATTGGTGACATACAGCAACAGTTCCAAGCACACGCGTAAGAAGATGCACACTCAAGCCACAGAATGGGACAAGGAAAGCCACACATGGTACAGCAATATCGAAAGTGGATATGCTCGCACATCAGGAATAAAATTCTGCAACAGAACAGCTCAACAAGGACATGAAATGTCTGACCATTGGCTGACATGTCTCTGCGTCGCATCAAGCCCTCATCAGTAAACTCCCACAACTGTAGCAGGAGAGCACATATGTACGCATGCCCACACACACACACATGTTCCGCGCGTGCGTGTATGGATGCGTGCATGGAAACAGAGAGGGCCCAAGATGAGTGGGGCAAGAGAGGAAACAACACAGAAAAAAGAACTACAATCTAACCAGGAAATGTCTGGTTCGAAAACATATATACAGGTCCAAAGGGACTGAATACAAATTGGTTCCATAACCAACCCATCATTTCCCTCCCTTCCCACCCATCCACCCGACCTCCAATCTACTCACCTCGTTTCCATGCGTGCGCCACCACTGCCCAACACTGTCGTGCCACTCGTACTCAAACCGCACTGCAATACGGTTCCCCGTAAAGCACCTGGAAAAGGAAACGGTGGGAAGAAGCAGAAGGAACAGGGGTATGTTGTTTGGTCACCTAGAAAATGATCGATAGAATGGCAATCTCGTGCAACTCCCAACTGAGACACCCCAGAAGGAGATGGTGGTTCGGGAGTGGGATGGGATACTGGAGCAGATGGGATTGCAAACCCCTCTCCCGTCCATGCCGTGGGAAGGGAGGAAGGGATGCAGGGAGGCAAGAGAACAAGCTTCATCATGCCATAACAAGCTATGAAGCTCAGTAGTAAGGGTCCATTAAGGAGTAAGATGCCAATCTCTTACCCACCCCCACCTCTTTGCTTGTCTCCTATCTGTTCTCACACTCGGTCCCTTGTCCCTTGCACCTTTCCTCTGCTTGTGCTACTTTCTTCATTTCCCTGCACCTTTAACCTTACCCCCCCCCTTCCAACCCCCCACGCCCCTTTTCCCCCAGTCAATCCTCTCATCGCCTTCCCTGCCCCACCATAGTTCTTTCATGAGACGGTAGTCCTGCTCTTTGCTCCACTTCCGTCTAAGGAACGCTTTAATCTCCTCGCGTCCGCTGAAAAACTCGCAGCGGTTGCGCCACTGCGAGTCTGGCGTGTATGCCAGCGCCACGCGCTCGGGGTCGCGGCTGTTCCACGCTGCCTCGGCGAACTGCGGGGAAGGGGGGAGGAGCGGCGGAGGGGGAAGAGAGGAGGACGAGAGAGGGAGCGGGAGAAAGGGAAACCAACCTTGACTTTGGCGTGCGCCGTTTCCTCCGTGAAAGGCGGAACCAGACGCATGAGAGCTCGTAAAGTATACGAGAGAGGGAAACCAACCTTGACTTTAGCGCGCGCCGTTTCCTCCGTGAAAGGCGGAACCAGACGCGGCGGAGGAGCCGAATTTTCAGACGCTGCTGCCCCTGCTAGGCACCGAGGGGCCTGCGCAGTGGAAAGGGCGTGACGACAAGCCACTGTGCCAAGAATGCGTGTATGGTCATGGCGGAGGGGATTAGCGCTGCGGAGAGATGCAATTAAAAACCGGCCATGGGGCAACATGGCGGGAATACGGTGGGATGGGTGTGGACAGGATGGCAGATACACAATTTAGTTCGATGTCGGAATTCATGAGTGGATTGGGATGGGAGGGAGGGGGCGTGCAAGAAGAACGCACAGGACCTTTCATGAGGGAGTGTTCGAAGTATAAAACAAATTGTCACGTCGGGGGATGTGACATGAAGGTACCCAACGGTATGTGTTGTTTTTAGAACGGTCAGAGCTACCGTACGTCTCGGTTCTGCTGCGTCCCCAAACCTTACGCTCTACTTCGGACACCCCATATGGATCGAAGATGCACCACACCTCCCTGTGCGTGTAGTGGAGACTAACTCAAACAAGCATGAAAACAGATGGCAAACCTATTATAAAGGTCTCATTATCTCATACACAAACTTCCAGGATGATTAAGCTTGCCCACTGCACATCACTACAGCATGCTCTCTCCGTATCCTTAAAGGCCCGACTTCACAAGGAACACAAAACTAAGGTCCGACTTCACAAGGAACACAAAACTAATCACTCTCTTCAAAGTAGTTACTGGTTCTCCTCGGCGGATCCTCTGGTTCAGAAGCCTTCTCTGTCTTCTTGGCTAAGCCACCTGAAGAGAGTGGGGGGGTTGAAGGAGTTTGCGAAGCTGGATGCCAACTTATCCACCTCCAAAACATTCCAATTTGAGCCATAATACCTGAATGCCGATCTGCATCGTTGCTTTTAGTAGTGCCCTTGATGGTGCTCTTAGGGATCACCTTCTCCGAAGCAGGTGCAGCATCGGGATTCACAGCAGCGGCCCATTTGGAAACAGCAGGCTTTGGCTTGTAGGATGCTTCAAGATCAGACTGTGATAACTCTGATGCACTGTTCTCCACACCGTGCTGCTGCATGGCTGCAGCTACTGCTGCAGAGATGGTCTCGGGAGCCTGCTTTTCTTTCCTTTGTCCCCGCCGTGATTTCTGCCGCTTTCCATCTTGGCCGTCCTTCCCTGTCCGCTTTGAGCTTTTCTTCTCAGACGGCTTCTGCTGCTTTCGACTCCGCTTGGAATCCTTTCTCCTGTTTGGAGTCTCGAAATCCGCATCACTGTCACTTGAAGACTCCACGACACTGCTAGTGCCTTCCTCATCTTCATCTTCCGAAAGATGGACTTCAAATAAGTCACTGTCATATTCTTCATCTTCAGTAGACTCCCGGCGTTTCTTCTGTTGCTTCTTTGGCTTGGTACGATGCCGCTTTCCATCAGAGCTTTGACTTGAACGGCGGCGCATGTAGACAAAACGTTGCAATGCAGATTCTTCAGCCTCCAAAGAATTCACCTGCAAATTGGTGCAGACGCTGTTAAAATTGACACGACTGTTGAGCCCAAGCAGATACAGCCAAGCCAGTTTGGACAGACTCACCTTCATGCTCCACTTGTTCCAATTGCTGTAGAGAGTTAAAATTGATGCGAACAGGTTGTAGAGAAGACAAACTGACAGGATTATGGCAGCCACCTGCCATGGAGGTAGAGGTGGCATGAAAAAGAAGCGGCAGGTATATCACAAGCCATGATGGCAAGAAACCTACCCCAATCAGCACCATATGGTTGCCAACAATCGCATATGCTTCGTCCTTGCTAATGTGCGCCACCTGCAGGAGCGAGCGATAGGTACACAGTGGTGAATGAACAGTGCAAAACACGACTTGGCAATAAGGGAGCAGCTAGAGGCTATATACCTTTGTTGTGACCAGATCCCAGTGAGACTGTACGAATGCATCCGCTTGAGATTGGAGAACAAAGCATAATATAGTTCCAATCAGAAGTAGAAGGCACAGAACCTGAACCAAACGCGAGAAGTCAGACAGAATCATGTACTACTGGCTCCTGAATGTAACGGTAGATACTCACAGCAAGAAGGAACGAGTGTAGGACAAGTAGAAACCTGCTGTTCTTCGCCAAGCCGAAATAACCAACAACGGAAAGTAGAACAGTGAAAGCGCCCACGATAGCAACAATAATGGCAGCATAGGTTCCCCTGCATTGTACAGAGTGCCTCTGTTAGCAAAAAATACCAGCAAAGCACACATGCAAGAACTTAAAGACGGAAACTTACGCAACATGGGCTTGGGATGTAACAATGGATAAATACAGAATAAATGCTCCAAATACCATGGTGAGAATATTCATGCTCATAGCCATTTGTTTTGCAGCGTATTCTGGAAGAAAACGGAAACAGGCATAAGACACATGAACAGCGCGCAAATAAGCTACCACAATAAGCATACATGCACCCACCATGTCCCATTAACGTTGATGATATCCAGAGGCCAAGAACGAGCAAGACAGCGGACAAAACTGAGAGAACGCCTCCTTCGATCAGAGCTCGATGTGTCTGCAAGGCAAATTCACCGAATTTAAGCATTCCCTAACCTCGCGCCTGGAGGAAGAAAGAAAACGGTCGTTGATACCTTCGCCAGCAACATTTGGTCAACTGCTGATTCCGCTGTTGCGCTGACATATGTTCTCAATATCTCAGAATACGTCCTCTGTGAAATTCAACCCGCGGAACAGGGTGAGATGAACATCCAAATTCAGAGGCTCAATAACACAACGGCATGATTCATGCTCACCTCATCAGCTGCGAAGATGAAGCAGAAACAACCAAGATATATTAGAATGGCTACCATGACAAATGAGGGAGCATAGTACCTGCAGATGGAGAAAGGGTTATGATCTTTGTTGCGGTAGGAATATCAGAATCATGATGCAACAATCCTTACCCGAATAGTACTTGAGGATTTGTTGTGACAGCTCCGACAACGCCAGTCACACTTATTGCAATAAGGAGAGAGCCGATGACTATCTGCACTCGTTACGTCATGCTAGCACGCTCTTGCGAGAAAACGATGCCTGCTCCCGACATTACCAACTGAGACTTACCAGAGAAATGAATGGATCGCCAAGCATCCATGCTCCTAAATCCGACCGGGCGGACTCCAAACGGCCAGTCGCATTTGTCTCATCCACATCAATAACACTGCACAAGGCGTTGTTTAAAAATACAACTACATCACGAGCTTCAATCGCTTTTTGTTTCCGCAGAACGATAGAAACCTGCTAGGTTGCGCTTCTGTGACGACGGTACTGTTGCTCTGCCCTGAGACATCGTTGCGATCCAGCACACTCTTCAGGTTACGCCTGCCTTGAACCCCGGCACAAATCAGAGCAATGCTGAACGATAAAAGAGCCAAGTTGAGGAGAACAAGCATGGTTCGCCTTTTCAGCCTGCAAACAACGACCAGTCATTTAGTCGCGAAATCACTTTTCGAGAACGAGTAATGCTTTCTTACTTCATCCTTCTCTCCTCTGGATTTTCAGGCTTGACAGCCATGCGAGCAAGGTCGCGAAACTTCTTGAGCTTCTTCATTGAGGCCTTCTTCGCTTTTGCGAACATTTTCGCCATGTTGCGAGGCTGCTTTGGGCTGTGGGACGACCTAGTGCAGGGAGGAGTGTTGTGAGCAAATGCAATCAATTGGCATTTCAACCATCAGTGAACTGGAGATGGGGTGGGGGAAGTTGCTCTCTATCAGCTATTGATGCGAGTGGCGCGGTGGACAAGCTTGGTTCAACGCTTGAAAGTGCTTTGCTTTCGTCGGCCAAGCGACATCGTTATTCTGCGTCAGCGCGTGTTACATGCCCTTGCCTTTTCGGTAAACCTTCGTCGCAAATGCCGCTGTACAGCCTACTGAGCTGTACATGATGCGCAAGTACAAACACATTTGGTTGATATCACAATATAAAGCGACCATGCCAAATAAAATTTCTTTGATTCAGCTGTAGGTGGGTCAAGTGTAATACGTTTGTTCATATAAATACTTCAATATAAATATACTGTAGTTGAGAGACAAGCCCAGCGGAAGTGTACAATTCCAACAAGGGAGCTATTGTTTTGATGCACATTTCGAGGCATGTCGTATTGTTCACCAGATATTTCGAAATCCTCCAAATGCCTTCCGTTTAGAGGATTAGGGACTACACTCAAATATTATTCGGGACCAATTACAGGGGGTTCAACATCCAGGACTCGGCAGGATTCAATTTCTGAGGTTCCCGCGAGCTCGCACTGGCACTCGTACTTCGTGTGTGATCCGCCTTCTGACCGGGATTCGGCACACTTCCTAGGATCCCTTCGCGCTGACGGTACGATCGAGCCGTGAAGGCTGGGAAAGGAGTGAGTGCGGGATGGCGACGACAGCGGAAGGAAAGGCGGCCGTGCAGGTAGGACATTGGCTCGCGACTGCCGCATTCCTCGGATTCGTCTCTCCTCTCACATCGCGTTAGGCGGTAGACTAGGCCGGAACGAGTTGCCGGTGAATGCCGCTACCCTGGCACGGATCGCCTTGCTTTCCAAGGACACACCTCAAGTTATCCAGAATGTCTCCCGCGTCGAGGTCTTTTCAGAATGCGTTTAAGCATGGCGATCCGATCCTGACCCGATGCGTTGTATGCGATCTCTTGTCTGGCTGTGCGTTCGCGACTATGGCTTATATGCTCACGAGATGCGAACCGATCCTTCAATCTATCACGTCCATGGCTCTTCCTCCACGCCCTCTCTCCCCTCTCACCACCGTCTGCACCCTCGCCTCTTTTGGCCCTGTGCGGCTAAGGATTTTGAGTCGCTCCGGAAAGTTTCAGTCGTGCTTGCCGTTCTAAGCATGTCCGTGGAAATGAACCAAGGGATTCACAAAGCCATGCACACCAATCCTGCCCGTCTCACCCATGTGACCTCCTTCCCCGACTCTATTGTCATCTCCTCCTCTCTTCCTTCGCGTAGATGTATGAACCGCATGATCGCGACACAGATGGTTCCTTCCCTGCTTGTGTATCTGGGTTCTTAGCATCGGTCCTCCCCCCGTTCTCCACGGTTCTTATCTGTGCGAGTGCAGAAGGCGAAGGTGTTCATGGTGGGAGCTGGGGGGATCGGATGCGAGCTGCTCAAGACGCTTGTCATGACAGGCTTCCATGACATCGAACTGGTACATGTTATCCTCGCCTCGCATTGCTACATGACGCCATCGCCTTATATTAGTCCCTTGGTACATGATTTGGTGAAATGTTTGGTACTCCCTCAAAATTCCCTCCTCCTTCCCCTCTCCAATGAGCCTTCCCACGGCCATTATTGCCCCGTATTCCCCCCTGCCTCCTCTTTGTCCCCCGCTTCCGCCCTCGTTTTCCACCGTCAGATTGACCTGGACACCATCGACGTGAGCAATCTGAACCGTCAGTTCCTTTTCCGCAAGCGGCACGTGGGACACTCTAAGGCCAAGGTAGGGTGTGTGAGGGAGGGAGGGCGAAGCCTTGAGTTGGGGCAGCTGGACGAGAAAATCTGGGACTGCTTGGATATGGGATGCTATGGTTGCATGGGTTGGCACAGCATGCCATGGGTGTGCCATACACCAGATACAAGCAGCCAATGATGTGTGTGCTACTATTGCGGATGTCCCTATTATTCTCTGCCGTCAGGCCCATAGTATCATGATTCACTCTTTTCAGTCCATCTTTAATTGCCTCCTCACTCCTCTCCCACCCTCTCCCCTTTCCTCTCCCCCTTTCTTCTCACTTCACCTCCTCCCACTTTTTAAAATCCAGGTGGCCCGTGAAGCAGCCATGTCTCTGTGCCCATCAGCATCCATCATAGCGCACCATGGCAGCATTCTCCAGCCAGAGTTCGACGTCTCCTTCTTCTCGCGCTTCTCCCTCGTGCTCAACGCCCTCGACAACCTCCCTGCCCGGCGCCACGTCAACCGCATGTGCCTCGCTGCCGGCGTGCCACTCATAGACAGCGGAACCACTGGGTTCCTTGGCCAGGTGGGGGTCCTAGGCAGACATGAGTTCTCTGAATGGTTTTTTTGGTTAGAGGAAGAAGCAACAGCAAGTGCCTCTGTCAGATGGCGGTTTCTGCTAGACTGGGCATGGTCAGAGCAGTGCTTAGTCATGATGGCACGACCTCAGTGTTGTGCGCTGGCCCCTCACGTGGCTGGTCAACCCTCTCCCCTCACCCACACACGCTCAGATCCCTCCTCCCTATCATTGCAACTCTCCCCTGTGCCGTTGCGTTCCTCCAGGTGACGGTGCATGTAAAGGGCGTGACTCAGTGCTACGAGTGCACGCCCAAGCAAGCCCCCAAGTCGTACCCCACATGCACCATCACCAACACCCCTTCCAAGGCAAGTGCGCCTCCACAAAATCACCACCCGTTCTTTAGCTCATCAGTGATCTTTGAACGCCTATACCCTTCACCGCTGGATCTCCAGCCTCTTCCGCAGTTGCCAGCGTGCGCCTAGACCCTGTTTAAGTCCATACTGAGTCCCATGTCATGCGTTATCTCCTTCCTTCAAACCTTCCCCCTTCTCCACGTCAGCCTGTGCACTGCATCGTGTGGGCCAAGGAGCTTCCCTTCGTGGCTCTCTTTGGCTCCCGGGATCAGGCCATGGACCTTCACCCGCCCCCCTCTACCACTGCTGCCACCACCGCTGCCCCTGCTGCTGCTACCTCTTCTGCAGCTGCTACTGGTGATGGTCACATAACCAATGACGCTGCTGCTGCTGCTGCCCCGGCACCCTCTGACAGTCACATGGTGAATGGGGTAGGGAGCACGGGGAAAGAGGGGGCGGAGCAGGAGGAGAAGGAGAAGGATGGGGAAAAAGAGAGTGAGGAAGATAGGAGGAAGATGGAGGCGGAGGCAGCAGCAACGGAGAAGGAAGAGCGGGAGTTTTTCATGCGGCGGGAAGGGGAGAGCGGGCGAGCCTTTGCATGCCGTGTGTTTGACAGGATATTCGGGGACAACGTGGCCAGGACACTGAAAATGGATGACATGTGGAAGCATAGGGCGCGCCCCACGCCCTTGTACCTTAAAGATGTGTTTCCCGAGGGGGTGGATGGGGGAGACGAAGGGAAGGGCGGAAAGGAGGGGGGAGAGGGGGCGGTGGGAGTGGAGAAGAGGGTGTCTGCGATGGTCAGTCTGGGGTTGAGGGATGCGCAGAAGGTGTGGAACGTGCAGGAGAACGCGCGGGTGTTTCTGGAGGCTGTCAGGCTTTTTGTGGAGGAACGAGCAGAGGTGAGGGAGGCGGGAGTGGTTGAGAGGTGAGAGGTGGGAGGTGGGGATGATGAGAGGTTAAGGGGTCACATAGCAAACAGGTCATATGAGAGGAGAGGGCGTGAGATCGGTTAAGGGGATGATGGGGACAGGACAAGGTAAGAAGGTGACAAGGTGGTCTCTGTTGTTAGCTACTGCACAGTTGCTGGCATTGGCTCTAACCTGGCCTTTTCATCTGACAGCAACCACTCCTTTGACGACCAGTTGCCTGTGGAGTTTGTGACAGTATCAGCCCACTCCCCCCCCGCGTTTTCCAACGCCCCTCCCCTTTCCCTCCCCGCTATCCCCCTCCCTCAAGCAGTCCTTGTGTTAACATAACCCCCTCGCCTAGGAGCTGGGCTCTCTCTCTCTTTTGACAAGGGCGACCTGCTGGCAGTGGAGCTCGTGATAGCAGTAGCCAACGGATAATGGCCCCCCATCCACCCCACCCCACCCCCCATGGCCCCCCCAATGCAAACCCAGGAGCTGGGCTCTCTCTCTTTCGACAAGGACGACCAGCTGGCGGTGGAATTCGTGACGGCGGCTGCCAACCTGCGCATGCACTCTTTCAGCATCCCCCAGCAGAGTGTGTTCGCAGCCAAGGGGATCGCGGGCAACATCGTGCACGCCGTGGCCACCACCAACGCCATCGTGGCTGGGCTCGTGGTGCTGCAGGCCGTGCGGCTGCTGGAGGACGAGAGCTACAGCAAGGAGCCGCGGTGAGAGGGGGGGGGAAGAGAGTCTGGTTAGAGAATCGGGGACAGAGGATGGTAAGGGGAAAGCGGCCGTGTGGCTGCTGGAGGACGAGAGCTACAGCAAGGAGCCATGGTGAGAGGAGGGGGGGTGGGAGGAGTAGGGTTGCGAGGTGGGTGGATGGGTGGTGAGGGGGGTAGAGGAGGACCCTTTTTTTCATCTTCTCGTTCGCGCCCTCCCAGTAACGGTATTTTCCCCGTAATGCCTTCTCTCCTTGCATTCCCCCTCGTTTCAAGCAGCATGGTTTGGTTTGGTGAATGGTTTGGGTTCCCCTGCCAGTGCAAGGCTCTTGAATCGACTCAGAAGTCAAACGCAACGTCTTCCTTCCCGCTCCTATCTCCCCCTCCCCCTCCTCCCACCCCCCCCTCCTTCCAAGCAGCATGGTGTGGTGCACGGAGTTCCCCAGTCAGCGCAAGGCTCTCCTCGCCCCCCTGGAGATGGACCCACCCAACACCAGCTGCCACGTGTGCTCTCGGGTGAGAGAAAATTGCGTGCTTCTTTCCCTGAAACATAACGCTCCCCAGAGGCTGAATCAGGAATATAGGTCGTGTTAACTGACTCTCTCCATTCTCCCACCCACCCACCCACCCACCCCTCTCTCCTTTGTGTCCCGAGTGGACCCATCCAAAACTGGACTGACTCGAAGCGCAGTTGGCTCAAATTGCATCCCATGTCACCCCCACTCTTTGGTTCCTGCTTCTCCCCACCCTCCTCAGCCTTCCTGTCTCCTAACCCTTTCGAGCCCTTCTTTTCAAGCAGCAGACCCCTCTCATCTGACTCACCGAGAAGGACTCCTTGCATGCTTCAGCGACGTGGTGGAGGGGGTGGTTAGGTTCGGTGGCGGCAGCACCTTCTCTTGGAAGGTCCTCTGTATCAATGTCCTACGAGCGTGAGATCTCTCCCGTCTATCCCTATCCTCCCCACTCCCACCCACCCACCCCCACACCCTGTGCACCCAGACGCCCTTGATGCTGGAGCTGAACACGCACACAGCTATGCTAGGGGACGTGTTGGAGGGGGTGGTGCGGCGGCAGCAGAGCCTCTCTCACTCCTCCCACTCCCTCTCCTTCCCTCTCCCCCCACCCCCACCCTCCAACCCCACCCCTTGTGCACCCAGACGCCCTTGATGCTGGAGCTGAACACGCACACAGCTACGCTAGGGGATGTGGTGGAGGGGGTGGTGCGGCGGCAGCTGTCAGCCACGCAGCCCATGGTGATGGTGGGGAGCGGGCTGGTGTACGAAGAAGGGGACGATTTGGAGGAGGATGAAGTGGCACGATACAAGACGAATCTGGCCAAGGTGAGAGATTTGCACTGCCGAGAGGGGAGTGGGGAGAGGAGCGGAGGGGCCGGAGGCGAGTAGGGGTCGGTTGTCGGCCACATCGGCAGCCGATGGTGATGGTGGGGAGTGGGCTGGTGTGCTAGGAGCCCAGGAAGGGGACGACCTAGCTGGGGATGAAGTGCATTGGTACAGGAAGAACCAGGGGATTGGTGAGAGGGGAGTGGGTGAGAGGGGTTGGGGAGGAGAGGGGTTGGGGAGAGGGGAGTGGTAGGGGGGAGTAGCAGGCAGCCTTGGCCAGGTGAGCAGCTAAAGCATACCAAGGGGCGGGGGGTAGTTTTGGAGGCACCTGGACGAAGGTAGCGTGCAGTAAGTGGGATTTCCCTTCCATGCATGTAACTGTGGGGGGGGGGGAGTGCTAGATGCGCTAGGTGTGCTAGTTTTGCTACTTTTGCTAGGTGTGCTGTACTCGTATAGATGTGGTTGTGATGACTGCACTCAGCACAGCCACTGGTGTGTGTGCACGTGCATGCATGCGTGCTGCGCGCATATGTCCAACCTTTTTTTCATGCACGTCGTCGGGCATGTTTGCATGTGTATGTGTATCCATCCTTTGCCCATCCCGCATACATCTATGCCCATGCAGAAACTGTGTGACCTGCCAACGCCAGTGAGCTCGGGGTCTGTGCTGACGGTAGAGGACTACCACCAGCACTTCAAGTGCTCCATCCACATCAAACACAGGTGAGCGGCTGATTAGAGCCCAACCGCCCGCACGCGCACACATTCATGCCCGTGCAGAAAGTGTGTGACCTGCCCACGTCAGTGAGCTCAATCAGTGCTGACAGTAGAGGGTTACCACCAGCACTTCAAGTGCTCCACATCAAACACAGGTGAGGGGGCTGGCAGCAGCACAGCACAGGCTAGCCGGCTGGCAGCCGTTTTAGACGGGGTTGGCATGGCAGCTCTGGGATCTGGGAGCAGTATCCACGCAGAGTCAGTCCAACTTGTGCAGTGCTGCTTACCGTCCGTGCTGCTCTCCTGTTCCTTGCTGGACTGGAACCACGTCCACGTCTGCTCCTTGCTTCTTTTAAGGCTTACCTTTTTTCGTATTAACCGTTTTCGCATTCTTTTTGGTGGATCGGCTGGAGCTTTCGCCGCTTCGCCTTCTGGCTTGTGGGGGTTGTTTGCCTAGCTGCTTTGGAAGATTGCTCTATGTGCTTTGGGAAAACATATCAAAAGTCGAAACAAGGTTTCAGTGCAATGCGCCCTGTGAAGCCTGCCTTTTTGTTCATCCACCCCCGCCTCCCCTTCCCATGTACCACCTGTAACCTGTACCGCTTGTGTCACCCTTGTTTGCGTCACATTCGTTCATGTCACATAACGGCAGAGATGACATTAAGGAGGAGGAGCATCCCGAGAAAATGATTCTCCACGGGCAGTTGCCAGCAGCCGACACCACTGCCACTGCCACTGACGGGGAGGCTGGAGCTGAAGGGGGCAAAGCAGGAGAGGAGGAGGAGGATGAGGATGCTGTGGTTGTCATTGAAGCGGGACCTGATGCTGCTGCTGCTGGTGCTGGTGCTGGTGCTGGTGAAACTGTTGTTGAGAAGAGGAAGAGGCGGCGGGAGGAAGAGGAGGCAGCAGATGGGAAGCGAGTGAAGGTGGATGTTGTTGAGGTGTTGGATGAGTAGCTAATGCATTGTAGCATTCGGGGACCATGCATTCGTTTATACCTGCCAACCATGTGCACACTTGCACTGTATCATATGACATGCTTTTATTATCTGTAATAAATTGGAGTACGAATGAGACTTGATGAAATGCTGATTTCGTTGCTGCTTTTCTTATTGATTCTGCGCTCCTTGTTGACGTATCTCGTGATGTCACCATAGTCTACAATATTTCCTCGGTATACGTCATGATCTTTTGCTTATAACGAAGTTCTGCACTGCCTGGATAATGGCACTACCCAGTCACCCCTCAAGCCCCATCCACATCATCCCTCCGTATCTCACGGCCGCCATGTCACAAATTCCTCGTTGAATGCTCCGCCAGCCAGGACAAGCAGTCGTGAATTTGCGTTGAAATAACGAAGAGTCCCGTGGGCACTCCTTTTTTTGAAGTAATTCGACCCGGGCAGTTGCTGATAGTTCGCGGCGCCGCCAGCCTACTGCAGGATCAGCGATTCTCTGGCCGACGTCCACTGAAATAAAGCGCACGCATATAGGACCTCCTAACTTCCTTCCGTGTGGAACCCTGCGTCGTACTGCTTTCACAAAACCCGTTTTTCTTAAATCGTTCGACTCCCTATGGCCTTCGCCTTAGCGCACCGCGGTGGCGGCTCGGCCCCGCATTTACGGGAGCTTGCCGTGATTCGGCCACGCATTAGTCCTCCTCTACACGCTTCAGCTACATTTCAAGCCCACTTAGTTCCCCGCGACCCTGCACCTACTAATCGCCTCCCTAGTCGTGTCTCTATTCCTGCCTCTAAATTTGCCTCGAATCCTGTCGCTGCTGCGATCTCAGTCCCGTGTCGCCTGATTTACCATCTGCGAGTCGCTGCTCGTCGCAGTCGCATGCCTCCTGCGACGGCGTCGCTGCGTTCGCACACCAGCTCGCTTCGTGATTTCGCATCAGCGGTCTCCGGACCAATCGCGTTCCGGCACAGGGAAGAGCCCGTGACAGGGCGGCCAATGAGGCTATGGGATTGGAGGAGCGCAGGAGGAGGTAGGGAGAGCAAGAAGAGGTGAAGAGAGGGAAGAGGGTGGGGGCAGGAGCGCAGGAGGAATAAGAGGGGAAAGGAGAAGGGGGGGGGGGGGGGGGGGGGGGGAAGAGGGAAGGGTGGGGGAGTCATAGAGGGGGAAAGGAAGAGGGTGGAGGGAGGGGGATAGGGAGGGCGTGGGAGAGGGAGAGGGGGAGCGAGTGGAGGGAGTAGGAGGGGGAAAAGAAAGGGGAAGCACCATGGGAGCGATCGCATGGGAGGGATGGGATGGGATGGGAGGCGGTTGATGGACCTCCAACGGTCCTTCCGTCCCTCTCCCTCCGTTTCATGGGAGGCGATTGACACGAATTGCCTCGTGAGGCGTCTCAACGCACCTCGTTTTGGTTGCGGCAGGGTCCAACTCATCTGTCCATCTTGTGCGTTCCTGCCCCTGCCCCGCCCTCCCTGCTTCCCTCCTCTTTGCGCTCCACTCTCTTCCTCCTTTCTTCCAGGCATGGGCATGGGCAGCAGCAGCAGGCGTGGCAGGGGCGCGCACGGGAGGTGCGAGTCGCGGGAGGGAGGAGTGGAGGACGGGGTACGGGTTGTGGAGAGGGCGGGAGGTGGGGGGAGTGAGGGAGAGAGGAGTGTCAGCAGCAGCAGTAGTAGTCACGCCAGCACTGGAAGCAGCAGCAGCAACAGCAGCAGCAGCAGCAGTGGTGGTGGCTGGCATAGTGAAATGGCCTTGGATGAAGAGCACCCTCTGGCAGGTGGGCATCCTCTGGCATGTGAGCACCCTCTGGCAGGCGAGCAGGCTTCAAGCAGTGCGTGTCTTCCCCTCTTCCTCTCTTTCCCCGCGTTTCCTCTTCCCCCACCACTCTTGCCAGACCTCAGCCATCCCTTCATCACCACTACAACCCCCCCGCCCCTCCCCTCCCCTCTCCTCCTCTCCCCTTCCCCCCCCTGACCGGTTCCTCCCTGCCTCCTCACCTGCCGTCGAATGCAGCTCAAGAGTCATCATCCCGCCCTCCCCTCCTCCCCCTCCCACCGCTTCTCCCCCTGTCGCACGTCTCCCAGGCACCACTCCTGGTGACACGCAGCTTAGTGGCCCCACGCCTGCTAGGCAAGCCAGCCCCTTCCATTCCCCTCTGTTCCCTCTCCTCCCTTCACCTTCCCACCCTCCCACCTTCCCACCGTCGCCCCTCCCTGCACGCAACCCTCAGGTGGCATAATGGCTCTGAGAAATCAAATGCGCTGCACTTGGGGTCACAGGGCGCTGGCTGGCAGTGCAGGCAGCATAGTAACCATACACAACTCCCCCCCCCCCCCCCCCCCCCCCCCCCCACAACTCCCCCGTCCCCCCCCCCTTCCTTCCCCTCACACCTGCCAGGCGGCATCGTGGCTCTGGGGAAGTTCGATGCGCTGCACGTGGGGCACAGGGCGCTGGCGGTGCAGGCGGCGGGCATGGGCGGCACGTGTGTGTGCATGCTGTCCTTCGCAGGGATGGCCGAGGTGCTGGGGTGGGAGAAAAGGTAGCTTCTGTTCTGCCATGCTCTTCTCTGATAAGTGGTGGACTCTGCTCTGCTATGCTGTGAAGCATCTGTTTTTGCTGCATGCCTACATGCCTGCATTCCTTTAAACCTCAGGCCGTCGCCTCTTTCATCTGCACACTTGCCTTTCCCTCCTCCCCCCCTCAGGCTCCCCCTCGTTGCCCCCTGTGATCGCAAGCGGGTGTTGGAGCTGTGGCAGCCGCTGTGCCAGGGGCAGCCCATCCGCGAGTTCTTTCTTGACTTTGCGCGCATCCGCTCGCTGTCACCTGAGGACTTCATCGTGCTGCTGGCGCAGCAGCTCAGTGTCAAGGGCATCGTTGCAGGTGCGTGAGAGAGGGCCGGCAAGGGGGTTGGGTTGGGTTGGGGTCGGGTTGGGGGGAAGCTCTCTTCCTTGACTTTGCTTGCACGCATCCGCTTGCTCCCGCCTGAAGAGTCGAGTGTGCTGCTGGCGCAGCAGCTCAGTGTGAAAGGAGCTTTTGCAGGTGCAGTAGACGGGTCAGGGGAGGTGAGGCGGGTGGGGGGGAGTGAGGGAGAATGAAGGGGAGCAAGGGGGGGTGAGGGGGAGTGGGGGGAGGAGGACGAGGACTGGGAAGACAGGGGGAAGAGAGGGCGGATAGGAGAGGGACCACAGGAGCCGCACTTATAGGAGTTTGCTCCCTCTGCATACTTATCGAGGTGATTATTCAAGGCGCTAATTATTCTAGGCAATTATCTAGGCGCCTCGTTTTGTAGCCGGTTTTTTTGTGCCTCGTCTTTTAAGCGATATTGAAGGCGCCTCATTTTTTAGGCGAGTTTTTAGGTGCCTCAAGAAGCGGTTTGCCCTCACTGCATCTCTTGCTCAGGCGATGCTTTCCACTTGCAGAATCCAGAGCAGGTCTGCAATGTGGCATTGCAGTGCCTTCCAGTCAACTCAAACTCAGAGCAGCTTGCAATGACGTTGACGGCTCACAGCGTCGCATGGCACTGCCTCTAGCACCATCACTGCTACTCCCCCACTCTCTCGCTTTCATCCCCCCCTCTCAATCTCCCCCCTTACCCCAATTCCTCCTCCTCCCCTTCCGCTCCCCCTCCGGATGATCCCAGGCTCAAACTACCGGTTTGGGTTCAGAGCAGCGGGCACAGCGAGCGATCTGGTGTCGCTAGGAGCGAGGCATGGGGTGCATGTGATGATCGTGGATACAGTGACCGACGCCCATGCTCACATGCACACTGACGTCATGGCTGACTCCGACCTTGCTACTGTCTCAGCTGCTGCTGCTGCTGTCTCTGCCAAAGCGGCAGCAGCAGCAGCAGCAGTAGAAGCAGCGGAGGAGACGCATGTGTCGAGCACGCGGGTGCGGCAGCAGCTGTGCGAGGGCAACGTGGAGGGCGTGGCTGCCCTCATCGCACGCAGACACCGCATCCTCCTCTCCCTCTCCGCGTCCTCCCTCTCGCTCTCCACCTCCTGGCCTCCCACTCACAATGCTGACCGGGGCAGTACTGAAACAAGTGATACCAGCAGCAGTAGCAACAGCAGTGGTACTAGCACCAGCAGCAGCAGTGATACCAGCACAAGTAGCAACAGCAGCAGCGGTGGCGGTGGCCATGGTTGGCGGATGACAGTGGGAAAGCAGGATCTGCTGAACTTAGCGCCAGGAGAGGGCAGGTACAAGTGCAGGGTGCTGGCACATGATGATGACGAGGAGGGGGAGGACGGGCGCAGGCACAGAGAGGTGCTGGTGGGCGTGGGGGAGGTGGAGGTGGGGGAGGCTCATCTGTGTGTGAAGGTGCAGCAGGCTGTGCTGCCGCCAGTGCAGCTACACAGATGGACGTGCCTCATGTTGGAGATCTGATGTAGATGCTGGGGATCTGATTTAGATGCTAGAGATCTGATTCGATGCTGGAGATATTCCATGCTGGAGATCTGATTTGATGCTGGAGATCTCAAGCAATGCCGTGATATTCATTTTACTTGACGCTAGACAATCAGGCACCTGCTGCTGGTGTTGCGGATTGATGGGTTGAGTTGAGCCCCCTTTAGTTAAGTCCTTCCCCGCATGCATTTGTGGGTCAATCATCTTGCATTGTTTCCATGGTGTGGTTACATGGTGGCTTGCACCCGCACCAATTACTGTCTCGGGCCCTTACTAGAGTTCTCGCTTCTTTGAAAACAAAAAACCCGACATTATTTTGTAAGATCTGCAATGGCATTTTCTGATGGACCTCAGCCCAGTGGCTCAAACACCCATTTGGCTATGCCCAAGTGGAAGGTGGCTCATGCTCACGCCCATCAGAAGCCAGACCACCACTGACTGAAAGCCCATAATGCTCATGCCCACAGCAAGGTGCAGCAAGGCACATAATGCAAGCCATGCGCTGCACACTGATCACTCTTCATCCCGCCCTGTTCCCCATCATGGTGCTGGGCGGGAGGTCGGTCTTGAGAACGCTCAACTAAGCTGAAGACCAGGTGGCACGTGGGCATGCGACGAGGCGCAGTTACATAGCAAGGGTGAGCAGCAGCAGCGTCACAACCAGCCCAACAATGGTGGTGAGGAGGGAAGCACCTGAGACAGCAGATGGGACGAATGGGAGCCAGGCGCCAGGGGGTTAAAAAATTATACCACTTTTAAGTGAGACACAAAAGGAATCCGTGGCATCACATTGTGGCGGCAGGGGAAGAGGGTGAGAGGGGGAGCAGGAGAGGGGAAGTCGGGGTGAATGGGGGGGAGGTGGGAGGCGGGAGGCGAGAGGGAGGAAAGCAACCTACGCGCCTTGGATTGGAGCGGGGTAGGGGGCTGTAGGGCGTTGGGGTATGAGGTAACTTGCGTGGCAGAATCACCTGGCTTAGTTGCCCGTTGCCTGTACTCACTGGCATTAAAGCGAGGGGCTAAAATAGTGAAGGCGGGTCCAACTTGAAACCAAGGGACCCTCGATTTTTTCTAAGGGGTTGTTAGCCTTACTCGGCAGAACCAGGGCAGTTCCATAACGCAGCCGTGCTGTTCAGAGCGAACACACGATTGGCTGGGAAATTTGTAGGACAGGGTTTGCGAGCTGTCACAGGTCGCAGGTACTTGTGCGACCCCATTGTATCGTCATTCTCCAAGTGGGCCCAACTTGATTTTCAAGTTGGACCCGGGTTCACTACTCATGGAAGAACACAACTGGTTTTCTGATTGGTCGAAATTTCTCCCCACCTATAGCTACCATATCAAGGCGTGTTTACTTCGACCACCTGCCAACCACACTTTTCTCATTGCGTGTCCACCCTTTTGAGTTTGACTGAACCGCAACCAATCGAGGTCGACAAAATACGATAACAAACGAGCCTCAACGAGGCGCGCTAGCTAGTATTATGCGTATAAACAGAACCCTGTCCACATATCCGAATTTGTCGCGCGGGCAGGTGCTTTTGCTGCTGAATGACTGCCCGCCCCGAAACGACGTTTTCTTCTGCCTGCTCGTTTGTCCCCCCTATATCTGTTCGAGGGTCCCAATCAAGTTGGGCCCAACTAGAAAGATGGGTCACTATTATAACCTCTCGCTTTAATACGTAAGACCGAGAGAGAGGGCGAGTGAAAGAAAGTGACAGCTACTGGCTTACCGCTCTGCCTGCTGCCGGCACTTGGTTGCGCAGCAGTCCCGGTCTGCTGCCCCACTGTGCCACTCTGACTCGCTCCACCTGCAGCCATGCCCGAAACAAGGATGCGATAACTTGGAAGGCCTTGGCTTCAGGCAAGGCTGAAATCACTTGAAAGACCCTGGCTTCAGATAAGGCTGTAGGCCAAGGATATATTAACATGGATCATGGCAACCCACAGACAGATGTGTCTGCGTGCGTGCATAGACCAGCCAATGCTGATCGACCCATTTCCCGTTCCTTGCTTCTGTTGTGAACCATTTGTCACATCACATCCAGTCCTTCCAACACCCCAGGAAACGGGACACGTTAGAGGAAACGAATACGTGCCCAGTGGCGTGGCGTCCAGTTGTACAGAATGGGAACCGCTGCAATCTGATACACCACCACTCCACACCGGAACACACATGAGCACACAGGAAACAACACTCACCTAGTGCAGTCATGTCATAAGGGAAAAGCACCACTTCGATCTGGTACACCACCATCTGGTTCCTGATGTCAGCCACCATCTTGCTCGGCACCAGCTTGTCATCATACACCAAGGGGCTGCCGTCCCTGTCGTCCACAGTAGCCACTGCTGCCGCTGCCGCGCTTTGCCCCGGCGATGAGCCAGACACATTCCATGACCCCATGCCCAGTGGGGCCGTTTCGTGGTAGTAGGAGAGCCACATGGGCTGGCCTAGCAGTGTGGGTAGGCTCCAGGGCCCTCCGGTTGTGTACTGCATACAGGGTGGAACGAAAATGTTGGATTGTGTTAGCAATGGAGATTTAAGAGCTTTGATTGGTTTAAGTCCTGGAAATGAATAGACGGGGTTTGCTCAGGTTGAGCGGAGAGGAAAGGGACGGAGGACTGCAATAACGAATGGCTTACATTCAACTCCGCAATTCCCGGCGGAATGTAAGTTGTCAGGACGTGAAATTTCACCAGATTCGCCAGCACGTCGGCTGCTCCTGAACTCAATGTCTGGTTCACAACCCATGCGGGTTGCGAGATGTCCGTCCGATCGACCACGTCTAGAGCCTCCTGGACCGCCGGATTGAATGCCCAGGTGTTATTGTTGTGCTTGGGGTAATTGAGCCGAGCACTGTTCCACGCGTGTAAATTAGGAAGCAAGAGCGTGCCTCTTGGTAATTTTGTGACCCCGCTGACGGTGAGCAGACGCTGCAGGAGAGCCACGTCAGCAAGAGACAGTTGCAAAAAATTACCTTGAGTGGATGCATTTAAGGCTTTAATGATTTCAGACACCTGAACCGCCTCGCCTACTAGCGGGGATTTCACAAGGGTTAGGGCAAGAAGCAGCGGAAATACTGCAAATAACAAATCCCTTCTGGTCTCCATGTCGAAGCCCCTGGCTCGAGCACTTCAGTAATGCCGTCCGCGTGCTGACAATACGAGCTTTAGTAGCTGGCTGTGCAGCTTTACGCATACACCTAGGACCTTCAGTAGCTACCCACCTTGGCTGGATATCAAAACCATCGCTATGGCACAGCAAAAGTGCAGTGTGTCACGGTGTCACTTGGTACGGTTGTGTGCTTGGGAACCTGACGCACCGAACCATCCTATCTGGTAACCTTGCCTATTGCGAAGGATTTGCCCTATTGCCTAGACGTCGCTGAAGACAAGGCACGTGAGAAACAGAGGGTGACGAGTAACGGACACTGGGTTCGGTCCTTGTTCGCGGTATACTGGCATTCAGCAACGATCGAAAACTTGCACTCTTATACGTCAAGCACATGATATCCATCAGCTACGTAGAAAGAGAGAACCATGAATAAGGCATCCTTAAATGCTCACAAGCGTTTTCGCAATTCCTGCAAGAGGACAAAAAAAAACACGACAATCTTAACTCCCAGCTAATAAATTAACCAACATGCACCAATATCTTGCACGATGTATGGTTGTCTGTCACGTCAGCTGTCCACCTTGCCCACCTTGTGCAGCCATCCTCTAGCCACATCAAGCGCCCCTTCCCCCCTCTGCTCGTCCTGCACACTCCCACGTGCATACCCACGTCCATCCACATGCACATGCGTCTGCGTAACGGTAACATCACTCGAACCCCAAGATATCCTGCCCCCACTGCTACTCCCAAACGTGCTGCTACCCCCTCTCAGTCCAGTCGTGCTGCTGCTGTAGCTGCCCCCAGTATCCATCCGAGAGCCTCCATATCCTTCTCTTGCCGCCTCCCCCCTCTGTCCAACCCACTGCCTTCTAACCCCATCCTCATGTCCCTCCCAGTTCCCTCCCCCTCGATATTCCCCTTGCTGTCCCTGGCCCTGCCCCGTCCACTGTCCATGTCTTACCCCACCCTTCTCTCCTTCCTCCACTTCCTCCTCTTCCTCCTCCTCCTCTTCCTCTCTCCCGTTCCCCCCATCCCACCACTCTCCACCCTCCTCCCCTCCTCTCCCCCTCTCTCCGTCCCTGCCACCCCTCCACTCTCCTCGATTCGCAACCTTTCCCGGCCTCTCCCTCCCTACACCCTCCGCCTCCCATGCTTTCTTCCTAGCATCCCCTCCCTCTGCCATTCGTTGCATGTACGGGCTATCCGGCAAGCCAGACGTATAGGGTGGATAGAACTGGTCATACGCCTGAGCATGCTTATGCTCATCCATATGGTTACGGCTACTGTTGATGGTTTCTGGCGCAGTTGCCACCCGCTGCCCCCGCCCATCATTCCGCCATGTCAGCCCCTCCCCCCTCTTACCCCCGCCCCCTCTCTCCCCCTTCCGCCCCTTCCCCCTCTCCCTCATCTGCGCCACTGCCCACAAGCCCAGCCCTGCGCCCATCACCCCCCCAACCCGCAGCACCACTGGCGGAACACCCCCCACGCCCCCCCACTCCCCCCAACTCCCCTCAGCACCCGCCAGCTGCCACTAACAGGCCAGCCCACCGCTCTGAGCACCACCCCTAGGGGGCTTCGAGCCAAGGGACCAAGTACATGGAGCGGATTGAAAGGGTTACACGAGTGGGCGATTGCGGAACAGAGAGAGTCCAAACCAGAACTGACTGCACTCCCTCGCTCAGTGGGACTTGTCTCAATCACCACCCTCTCCCCCTCCTGCTTCCCCTGCCCCTCCCATTCTCCTCCCTCCTGTCCCCCTCCCCCCTGCCCTCCCCCCTCCCCCTTCTTGCCCTCTTTCCCCTTGCCTTCCTTGCCGCGGTTCCCACTGTTCCAGCCTTTGCCGGCGCCACTCCTATTCCCTGTGCCGCTGCGGCTGGGACTCTTCAAATAGGTGTGCGTGTGCGTGTTGGTGTGGTTGGGGCTGCGTGATTTCAGCGGGGAGACTTTTCGCCGAGGCACTGGAGCCATCAGCGCTTGCTGCTGCTGCAGCTGCAGCTGCTGCTGGTAGTGGTACGGCTGGTGCTGCCCGTATGGCTGCTGCTGCTGCTGCTGGTTGTGCTGCTGCCAGGGCAACACCCGCGGAACAAACACTCGCATCCCTCCCTGAGCTTGCCTCTCCGCCCGTCGCTGCTCGCCTCCTCCCCTCCGCTCCTCTCTTATTCTCGCTCCCTTCTCCGCTTGACCTCCGCCCTTTCCCCCCCCTTCCCCGTTGCTCCCCCGGCTGGCGCAACCACCCTCGTCATCCTCCTTCCCCTGGTGCGCAAACTCCAGAATCCGCACCACCCGCGCCATCCCCCCATCACCAGCCACCACTCTCCCCATGCCTCCGCCAAACTCCCCCTTTTCCGCTCCGCGGATCGCCATCCCGTCCGCGCATTTCCCCCCCCCCCCTTCTGCACGTTCCCCCCCCGCTCCGAACTCCGCCGCATGCTCCCCGCGCTCGTCCGCGCTTCCCCTGCGCAGTCCAACGCCGCCCTCGCCTCCCCCTCCGCTCTGCCATTCCGCCGCTTCCGCATCTCCACGCGCCACTACCCCGTCACTCGCGCATGAGCGGGGGATGGGCGCAATAGAGAACGCCAAGGACGACTGACGCGACGGGGGCGGAGGCGCGGGGAGCAGCGGCGCTTTGGCGCGGACGGGGGAGCGAGGGCGATGGTGCTGCGCGGAGCCATGCGCGTGCGCGTGGGGCAGCGCGGAAGGGTGCTGCTGCTTGAGGTGTTGGCACGCGGAGACGCGCGAGATGGCGGAGGGGACGGCCGCGGGGGAGATGAGCGGAAGGTACGTGGGGCCGGGGGGCGAGGGGGGGTAGGGGTTGAAGGGCGTGCAGGCGACCTCCGCGGCGAAATGAAGCACCTCGTCCACCACCTAAAGGCAAGGTGGGGGGGGGAGGAGTGGGGGAGGCGGAGGTGGAAGGGGTGAACGGGAGAGAGGAGAGGAGAGGAGAGGAGAGGAGAGGAGAGGAGAGGAGAGGAGAGGAGAGGAGAGGAGAGGTGAGGAGAGGAGAGGAGAGGAGAGGAGAGGAGAGGAGAGGAGAGGAGAGGAGAGGAGAGGAGAGGAGAGGAGAGGTGAGGAGAGGTGAGGAGAGGAGAGGAGAGGAGAGGAGAGGAGAGGAGAGGAGAGGAGAGGAGAGGAGAGGAGAGGTGAGGTGAGGTGAGGTGAGGTGAGGTGAGGTGAGGTGAGGTGAGGTGAGGTGAGGTGAGGTTGTGGGTGAGAAGGGAACAGGGAGGAGGCAGGGACAGCCAGGAGGGGCTAGCTAGGTCGGGGAAGAATGGCAGGGCGAATAAGGAGAGAGAACGTCGCAAGCGGGAAGGGACAGTGGGGCGACAAGGGAGCACCATGTCCGCGCTCGCGTCTTGCAATGGGCGTCATCCACACTCTTCCCAGCGGCTTTCAGCGAACAGCACACCCTATTTACCGCATTCCCTACCCTCCTTGCCTCTCTCCCCCCTCTCCCCCTTACTGCGCCCTCCATCCCGCTGCCCCCCCCCCTCTCTCCCGTTCCCCCCCCTCCCCGTCCATTCCCACTCCTTGCCTCTCTTTCCCCCACCCACCCCCCCGCCCCCCCCCTTACCCCAACCCCCCCGCGCACCTTCCATTCGCGTCCGCAGTGACACTTGGCCTGCGACCACAGCACGCGCGTCACCAGCTGCACCTCGCGCACCACGCGCTTCTGCTCCGCCACGTTCCCCGCGCCCTCCGCGCTCCCCGCCACCGCTGCTGCCGCTGGCGAGCGCGACGTCGGCGTCTGCTCCGCTCCTCCCCCGCCCGCGCCCCCGGACCCGCCCCCGCCGCCGCCGCCTAGCCCCTCCCCTCCTCTCGCCTCCTCCCGCAGGCCCGCCTTCTCCCTTTCCGCCGCGGCAGCCGCCGCCGCCGTGGCTTGCCGCCTCTCGTTAATCTCCATCTCCATAAGCTGCTCCAGGTGCCAGTCTAGCATCTCCAGCGCGTCCCTAATTGACATGAGCACGCGCGCCTCGACCGTGCGCTCCCCGGGGACGCCCTTCTCCGCCTGCCCGCCCTTGCGCGCCACCTCCACCTGCTTCTCGTACGCGTGCTGGTACCCCAGCTGCTCGCACTCCCCCATCTCCCCCGCCATCCCGCCGCCCGCGCACCAGAGTTCCGCCTCCCCCCCGCGCGCGGGGGCCGCCTCCGCGCCTGCGCGCGCGACTTTGTCGCTCGCTGCCCTCTCGTCGCTTTTCGCGACGGTACCGGCGGCGGCGTCGTCTGCGGAGGCGTCCGCGAGTCGAGTGGCGTCGACCGACACACTGCCCTTGCCCTCCGCGTGCCTGCGCTTGACACGTGGCGCGTGGCGGGTGGAGTAAGGAGGGCGGAGGGTGGAGAGAGGAGGGTTGAGAATGGAGGATGAGTAGGAGTCAAGTGAGGGGCGGCACACGGATCGAAGAATCCGGGCTATGGTTGGAAAACAGAAGCACTGGGAGAAATCTGAGCCGTTTGAGAACTCACGGCAAGGCTTTCCACAGAAAAGCGCGATACTGTGACGTCTACATGCCTAGCTCACCCCATTCGCACTTGATTTTAAATCGGAACGTCTTGCAACGAGTCAGTCGCCACCATGCACATGGCACGAACCGCACCGCCCGAGCCGGAGAGACAGCGAGAGCGAAGCAGACGAGCTAGAGACCATTGCCACGTGGCCCACACTCCCTGCGCCGCTGCGGCACCACTGGTATGCGCCGCAGCAGCAGGCGCATCTACATCAAGATGACTTTTGAGTCGACTCAAAAGCAGCAGGCGCATCTACATCATCAGAAGCTGAGGGCACACGAGGCGACGAGTGCTGCGAGAAAGCCAGCTCACCTGCGGGGATGCGCGGGCGTCTGCTCCTTCCTCCCGCCGCCGTGCTTGCCGCTCTTGCTGGGAAGCAGCTTCACGGATACCGACAGCTCGGGCACGTCGTGCAGGCTGGGGAGTGGAGGGGTCAGGGGGAGGAGGGTGGGAATAAGGGGAAATGGGGGGGACGCAGGGAATGGGCGGCCATCCTAGCTTGGTCTTGCTGGGAAGCAGCTTCACTGATACCGACAGCTCGGGCACGTCGTGCAGGCTGGGGAACGGGGTGCGACCTGGGGGGAAGAGTGGGAGGGAGGAGGCGATAACCAGCGTTCTAAATCATCATACTGATGAATAGCCAAGCATCGGATGCGAGTCGCGCCTGTGCAGATAATCAGATGATCCACTCTTGCCGCCCTGGAGCGTTTACCGAGGCCGACCGCTCGGGCACATCATTAAGCCCGCGACGGCGAGATGGGGGAAGGGGGGAGAGGGGATGGGGGGATGGGAGGGAGAGCGGGAGGAATTGGAAGTGCTGGCGCTGGAAGAGTAGGGGGAGAGGAGAACAGGGGGAGCGGAGAACAGGGGGAGTGATATTGGAGGGAAGCCTTGGCGTGCGGCAGTTCCATTCGCAGGACTTAGACGATTGGCAGGTTGAAGGGGAAGGGGAGGGGAGGGGGAAGAGAAGGAAGGGGGAAGGGACGGGAGGGGGGTGTGGGGAGGGCGGGGGAGGAAGGGGGGGGTTGTGGGGGTGGGAAACCAGAGCCCAGGAAATGATGTTACCTAGCGTGTGCCGAAGGAAAGTATGAGCGGCAGGATGGGCCGGGCTTCGGATCCCCCCCACCCCTACCCCACGAGCTTTACAGACACAAACAGTAAGCTCAGCCGGCGCACGTACCGCGGCTTGAGCTGCCCCGCGGCGAGGTAGAAGTCGCTCTTTAGAATCCGCTCAATAGCGTCGCTGACTTGCTCGTGCAGCTGCACGGCTCGCCGGACCATGGCGCCCAGATGCTGCTGCCCCATGGCTCCTGGAGCAAGCCCCTCGGTCACCTAAGAAGAACCAAGTTGTTTTTAGAAGAATAAAACATGAAATTCCTCTCGAAATGAGTGGCGATCACTCGAGGATCAGACAGCCTACGCGTGTATGGCGCGCTGGAGTAAAATGTCTAATGCGTTCGCGCGTGGGGTGTGGGTGCGTTGCAGGCAGACCTTCCTGCCGGCGCATCTAGCGATCCAAAAGAAGAGGAGAAAGCGACTGGCATATGGAATGGTGTCTCTGATATCTTCATGCGGAAGTGAACTGACATGGCAAGGATTAGAATCGGACCTGGCAAGACATGCATTCATGCTAGAATCTACACATGGCTGCACTGAGATGACTGGGCATGGCTGGGCATGGCTGGGTGTCAGGGCCGGTTATCTGTCAGTGTTGTGCAACGGCAATCACTGATGGTCCCTGCGACTAGACGAGGAGAGCAGAGGCAATGAGAGGGTTTGGATTCGGTTGGAATGGGTCACTCTGCGATTTGCTGGTGCAGGTTCGTCAGCGGGGAAGAACGACTGGTTTTGACGACAAGATAGAGTCACTGACATTTCGCATGGCTTGACGTCTGGTGTGAGGTGAACCCCCGTGCAAATATCTAAGCGACCCATACAACCAATACCTTCCCTTGTTTACCGAAAGGCAATGTGTTGACGAGGGTGTCGCATGGGGTCGATCATCGCGAATCCGTGACTCGCAGTTCAAAACCAGCACTCAGCTGCTCGTCAGCGCATGATGACATGGGTGATTGGTGGGAAATTGAATTGAGCGCGGGAACTGACAACCAAGAGCGGCGTACGGCACACATGTGGTTGGAGTCTGACACAAAACATTTTCAACCGCAACAATGGAGGACTCACTACACGACTGTTGGAATGAGAGAAATCTCTTACTGAGTGTTATGAGGTCTAAACAAGGAGAAACGAGAGCTGGGCCAGCCAATCAGCATTACCCTATATCAAAACCCTGAAAAGGGCTGAATCAGCGAAAAAGTTCTGATATCTAGGGGAATGTTCGATACCCCCAAGCTTGCACGTGGACTCGCGTCCTACACTTCCGAACCTAGGCCCTAGGCGTCCGAACCACTCCGCTGGGGTTTCGTGGCCCACCCTTCGTTGTCCCTCGCTAGAATAGCTGTGATTGTACTCTATTTAGCTATGTGCTTCATTTGTATTCAACACAACACCTCTCTATTGCTTTACTCGAATCTCATAAGGAGATTATCATAACACTACAGAAAGTGGTTCTGTCTTTGTACACCTCATTCGATGTAATTTGGCAGTCTGGGAATCTCCCCCTCCTGACAGCTCGCAGTTGTTTCCCTCCAAGCTTGAATTCAAGCACTCAAATTCGAATTTCCAGCTGGTCGCATGACCTCCATCTCGAGAAGGGAATGCAATGCAATCCCAGTGGACGCCAGCACAGCTTCAGGTCCCGTGGCCATCGGACCTCTCGAGCTCCTTGTTGCGCTCTCCTGTATCCAATGGCGTGATGCAGATTCTCGTCGTTTATAGTGCGCCTGAGAGTTCGTGGTGAACTTGTAAGCCAACTCAAAGAATTAGCAAGCTGAATACTTCTTTCGACCCTCCCTTGCAAGAGTGCAGTACTGCTGCTCAATGTCGCCATGCCACTCCGTACAGTGGGGAGCATGTTGACTTTCCCGCTCGTCCTTCTAGGTACTAAAATAAGCGGCATATAAGTGATATTGCTTCGGAAGAGGTCAGCGTTTAATGCTTCGTCGCGCGTTTCGCAGGCGCGTGCTTCGCGGATGGGGCGAAAACGTCCATCTACAAGCTGTGGGACTCTCCCTTGCTGGAGAACAAATACGTCATGTCGGCGGAGAACGTCTGGAAGGCCTATCCAGCAGCTAGTGTTGTCGTCTCAGCGGATGGTTGTGGCAACTTCACGTCTGTGCAAGACGCAGTGGACTATGTGTCTTCGATGGATACGAAGATGCACACAGTTATCGACATACTCCCAGGAACGTACAGGTGAGAAACGCTCAGTGTCTCTGCTCTGATTTATCGAGCTTCATTGAGGATGCTTGACCGAGCAAGTGGCACAGAGAGAAGGTCCTGATTCCGAAGTCCAAAGTGAGCATCATGCTTCGTGGTTCCAACCCTTTGGAGACGATAATAAGCTACGATGACTACGCAGCAAGAGAGCTGTCCAACGGTTACGTTCTTGGAACTTTATGGTCGTGCTCAGTTTGCGTTGAAGCGAACAATTTCGTTGCTGTCAACATCACCTTTCAGGTCAGTTAGTTTTCCGTTTTGCTCATTTTACCGTTAAAAATTGCAGCTGCGGCTTTGTTGAAGTTTTTTATGAGTCCTTACAGAATTCAGCGCCTCCGCCACCGCCATTTAGCAACGAGACAGCTGAGGGTCCTATGGCGGTAGCCCTCCGTATCTCCGGCACAATGGCTGCATTCTACAGCTGCCGTTTCATTGGATGGCAGGACACTCTCTATGATCACAAGGTGATAAGTCAGCATATTTTAAAAACATCTGGTACAAGACATATATTAAAGAACAACTTATTTAATTCTGCAGGGCCTTCATTATTTTCGTGACTGCTACATTGAAGGGAATGTTGATTTTGTCTTTGGCGATGCAACATCCACTTATGAGGTAACTCCACCACTTCCTGCGGGTCCTTTGTTTCTATCCAGAATGACTAACTACGTCGGGGAACCTTCAGGGTTGTGTCTTCTATGCCAAAGCCAGGAAGCATGGCGGAGCAGTGACAGCACAGTACAGGAGGTCAACCGCCAAGCGGTCTGGCTTTGTTTTTCTTCGCAGCATAATTACAGGGAATGGTCGGGTGAGTAAGTTTGAGGAGCTGAAATGCACGTGTTGAATGGAAAGGTGAACATTTTGTAATTTGTGACTTTGTTCAGGTTTACCTCGGAAGGGCCTGGGGAAATGCCAGTCGGGCGGTCTATGCGTGGTCATTCATCAATAACATCGTTCAAAAGGGAGGCTGGTATGATTGGGGTGACGCTTCCAGACACGCCACGACCTTCTTTGCCATGGTAAGAGCTGATCCCTTTTTCAAAGCCTAAATTATGTGTTACCAAGTTGACCCTTGCCCTTATCCCAGTTTGACTGCTGGGGCCCTGGAACAAATACAAGCGGATGGGTGCCGTGGAGCCATGTCCTCAACACATCCCAGGCCCAGCCATTTATTTCGTACAGCTTCATTGATGCTTGTCAATGGCTTGGACCCCTCCCACAAGGAGCTGGAAGTTTGACTCGCCAGCTGGGATACAGAGTGAACTTCACTCAGGTTCCACCAGCCCCAACATATCCTTACACGTGCTTCTCCAGTAAGTTAATACGCCTCGTGTAAATGGATGATGCCCGAGGTGGCTTGAGACTGAATACTCTGTCTTGCTGCAGGGACCCCACCGTCTTCTCCAGCGCTCGTTTTTCAACCTCCCTCTGCAGCACCAGCAGCTTCACCTGCGTCTGCCCCACTATCACCACCTACACCTGGTCCAGGACGTGTACTTCCACCTCCATCTCTTTCGTCTCTGCTTCGAGGTTACCCCCCACCACCACAGCAGCCACAGCAACAAGCCCCTCCAAGTCTAGCTGCTCCAGCTCCTGCAGTTTGACCACCTTAGTGAATACTGTGACTTCCCAGTCTGCTGTTGGGCCAGTTTTGCCTTAGCATGTTATGCTTTTGGACAATTCCTCAGCCTTCAACAATGATATTTGTGGCGTAGACCAGGCTGAGATATGGTTAGCTCTCAGTAATATTCTGTTGGAAATATCTCAAGGACTTAAGCGTTTCTGAAGTGTAACACTGTACTCGAGGAAGATTACAGGGGAGCACGCGAGTCAACGGAGGTTACACGAGGGGGCGGACAAAGAATGCGAAAGGACTCGAAAGGTCGCAACTGGAGGTTGCGACTGACCGTTACAACATCACGGATGGTAACCGAAGCGGCAATCGAGTCGCTGTGCGACTCGATAAACCGTTCCTGTAACTGTATTCTACAACTGCTTTCTTATCTACTATATATTGCTGTATGCTTGTTTCTTTAATCAATCACTTGTTCTCACATACTAGTACAAGGGTTCAACTGCCTCAACTTCCGCTGCACTACTCCAAGTCTCAAGTCTTTACAGCTGGGACTTAATCTCTGCAAAAGATCCTAAAGGGTTTTTCTCAGCCCAACATGGTATGAGAGCTGGTCAGAGACCAAACTCCCAGCAACTACGTCCTATCAACAACCTGCAACTCAACTCAATTCAACGACTTCATTGATTACAAGACATGGACAACAAGGGCAAGAAAGTCTCTACGGGCTCACCCAGCGCCCAAGAAACTCAACACGGCAACTCTGGTCTGCACACCTCAGGACTGCAGACAGAGACCGGGACTGCTCAAGAAACAACGGGAAGAGTACCAGAGATGGTGACCCCGTCTCCCTCTTCAAGTGTGGACCCGAATCTCATGGAGAGATTCTTCAGCTTCATGTCACACTTCGATCAGCAGCAGCAGACAAGGACACCTGCGCACTCAACACAGAGCAATGGAGGGAATATGGGATTAGCGCCGATGAGCCTCGACAACTCATCCTTCGGGCGACACAATCAAGCGCCTACCTTTGCGCCTTATCATTCTTCGCCGGGGACGTTCGAATTCATGCCGCCCCGTGCCCAGCCAACAGCAGCTGCTTCACAACAAACACCGAATGAAATCTTAAGTTTACAGGCGCAGTTCTCACACGTGATCAAACTTCAGACATCCTCACCGTTCAACGGACACGACTTCTTTACCTGGAGCTTCGAGTTCGAGCTGCTGATGGAGGCCGCGCATCTTCTGGGATACTTCAACGGGTCCCTGCCATTCCCAAGCAACGGCACTGGGAAGGAACAAGAGATCTTCACGTATCAGTCGCTGCTGGCGTACACGGTACTCCTGAGAAACCTGTCACCACAAGAGCAGCAGAGCATCAGAACGTATCGGAGTTATGGAAACTCCGCGGAGCTCGCATGGCACCACCTCAAATGCCTTTACCAAGCAAACGACAGCGTGACACAAAGCAGACTCATGCAACAGCTGACAACAATACAGATGAAGACCGGGGAAAAGGCGATGCAGTATATGAGTCGCTGCCAGACCCTCCGCGACCGCCTGCTTCGGTGCGGAGGAACGATCACTGAAGAAAGCTTCGTGACACTTGTCCTCGCCGGGCTCGGGCCTGAATGGAGAACCACACGATCACTTCTTCGAGCCCACGGAAGAATTTCGGAGATGCACCTCTGCGCCGAGCTTCACGCTGAACAACAGGAGATGGATCTGTTCGAGGAAAGACAACCAAGGAAGCAACAGCAGTTAGTCTTCTACACTCAAAGAAGAAATGACAACAACTACAACCGACGCAGCAAGCAAGATCAACGCGACAACCGAGGACTCACCATCGTGCCGCCGTTCTGCCACAACTGTCAGACTTCCGGGCACTCCAAGGTCAACTGCAACCGCCCTCGCGTTTACCGTGCAGCAGACCCACAAGTCGCTTCCACTCAAGCAAGTCCTCCAAGGCGCTCTTCAACATCTGCACAACAAACACCCAACATCATCAACTGCATGGTACACATCGACAACTGCGCACCCGCTTCACCACCCACTTACGCACCAGACGAAGAGGAATTTCCGCCGCCGCCTTCTACGCGTGAGCCTTCAACCTTGTCGCAGGCTCTGGGGGGGGAACATAAGGCAAAATGGAAAGAAGCGATGGAAAAGGAGTTAAAAGCTCTGCAAGACCGAGAAACATGGAAACTGGTACCTGCAACGAGCATCAACGGGAAGAACGTTCTCTCGGGGAAATGGGTGTACCGCATCAAGACCAACTCAGACGGCTCCATCGAACGATTCAAAGCTCGATGGGTCGTACGAGGCTTCGATCAACGATACGGAACCGACTACACAGAAACCTTCGCCCCAGTCTCCCGTCACACCTCATTACGCATCCTACTCGCCGTCGCGGCCACAAAAACACTACCACTACGCCAAATCGATGTCGCGAATGCGTTCCTATACGCACCTGTGGACGCTGAGATCTTCGTCGAACAACCCCACGGATTCATCGACGACCCCACGAAAATATGCCGACTGACAAAATCCCTATACGGGATCAAGCAAGCCCCGCGGCTCTGGCAGCAGCATCTTCACAGCCGTCTCGTAAAAATCGGCTTCCTACAGCTGCCGCATGACCAAGGGATGTACCGACTGCAGAAGGGAAGAGAGTATGTTCTGCTCATCGTCTACGTCGACGACCTGCTCTACATCGGCTCAACTACCGACATCGCCACCTGGTTCGAAGGGGAGCTGAAAGAAGATTTAACTCTCACGGTGTCCGACGAAGTTACGCAGTACCTAGGACTGAACGTCGTCGAAGACGACACGGCGTTCTACCTACACGCTGGAAAGTACTCAAGCACCGTCGCGAAGAAATTCGCTCTAACACCGACTGCGGTCCCAACTCCCTACCGCTACGGGAACAACGGCAGCGCCTCTACAAAACTCCCCGCGAAACAAATCCAGGAGTATCAACAGAAGCTCGGCTGCCTACTATTCGCAGCAGTAACCTGCCGACCCGACCTATCCTATAGTGCGAGTCAGCTGGCGACACATCTGAAGCATCCGCAACAGGAAGATCTCGAAGAACTCAATCGAGCGCTACTCTACTTCGTCTCCACGCCGACGATCGGGCTTACCTACAGCAAGGCAACAACACCGTCCGTACGACTACTCGGATACGTCGACGCCGACCACGCGGGAGACAGCGAAAATCGACGGTCTAGGACGGGCTACATCTACCGACTAGAACCTATCGGAACTATCTCCTGGCAGTCGAGCAAGCAGGAGTTAATCGCACTATCCTCGGCTGAAGCAGAGTATATCGCCCTTTGTACTGCGACCAAGGAAGGACTCTACCTACGAGAGTTACTCGAAGAAGCGAAGATCGCGACCCTGCCCGCCTTCTCACTCCTCTGCGACAACCAATCTGCGATCAAAATCGCGAACAAGGACGGCTTCGCCAATCGAACCAAGCACATCGCCCTGCGGTACTTCTTCGTCAAGGATGAAATCGCGAAGGGGAGACTTCAACTCAGTTACTGCCCGACGACAGAAATGGCCGCAGATTATCTGACGAAGAAATTGGCGAAAGCAAAATTCGACTACTGCATGCTCCTAACCGGGCAAACAAACGCCACCGGATCTGAACACTCCAGCACTCCAGAAACGAAGGGGAGTGTTGGAAATATCTCAAGGACTTAAGCGTTTCTGAAGTGTAACACTGTACTCGAGGAAGATTACAGGGGAGCACGCGAGTCAACGGAGGTTACACGAGGGGGCGGACAAAGAATGCGAAAGGACTCGAAAGGTCGCAACTGGAGGTTGCGACTGACCGTTACAACATCACGGATGGTAACCGAAGCGGCAATCGAGTCGCTGTGCGACTCGATAAACCGTTCCTGTAACTGTATTCTACAACTGCTTTCTTATCTACTATATATTGCTGTATGCTTGTTTCTTTAATCAATCACTTGTTCTCACATACTAGTACAAGGGTTCAACTGCCTCAACTTCCGCTGCACTACTCCAAGCCTCAAGTCTTTACAGCTGGGACTTAATCTCTGCAAAAGATCCTAAAGGGTTTTTCTCAGCCCAACATATTCCTCCTGATCTTGGCTTTTGTGCTTTCCAGAGCACCCACTGACCATCCAGATAAAAAAGAAATGGAGATCCAATTCTGGACTGCTGACTAGGTACACTTTCGTCAACACTACATTCATCGAAGCCAACTGCACCGACATGACAGGAAGACATTCAAACATGAATCGCATTTGCTAGCCATTGCCTTGCCTGAAGCCGTAGCAGCAACGATAGAAGCAATAAGCCAGTAAAGTAAACATTTTTCCAAGCCTCCGCATTTAACGGTAAGACTTCTGGTAACGGGCGCGGGCACCACGACCACCGAACTTCTTGGGCTCGCAGCGGCGGGGGTCAGCAACGAGGAGCGTGCGATCATAGCGCAACAAAGCGTTCTTCAGCTCCCGCTTGGACTGCTCGTCCACATCTGCTCGAACAGAAGGGGAAGGGCATGGTTAGTAAAAGAAGGGGATTGAGGAATAAAAGGAAGATAAGGGAAAAGGGGGTTGCACACATCGTGGCAAGCCCCAAGTCACATGGTTTTGAAAACAGACTCTGCTAACTCCGCACCCACCGACACACCCCACAACCGCACCCATCATTGACCAAACCCAAGAAGAACGTACACTTCTGGTAGTAGGCAACGAGGGCCTTGGCAATGGCCTGGCGGATGGCTGTGATGGAAAGATAGAAACACAGAACGCAAAAAACAATTGGCATTGGTCACTAAGGGGATTCTCCTAAAAATGAATGCTTCAGGAGGCGTGCTAAGTTTAAACAGAGAGATGGACGCAACAACAAACTCCAACAATTCACTGGTCACAGACGAGGCGACTGACTCAACACCGAGCGAGCAAAATCGGTTTCAGAGCGCCGAGTACCGTAGATCTGAGACACGTGTCCTCCTCCCTGCACGCGGATGCGGATGTCGACGTTGGCGAACTTGTCCTTGCCCAGCACCGTCACGGGCTCGAACGCCTTGGCGCGCAGAGTATCGGGCTCGATCAGCTCCAGGGGCGAACCTGCGCGCAGGGGGAGGAGGAAGCGGGGGGGACGGGGGCGGGTGGAGGGGGGAAGAGGGGGAGGAGAGGGGTTGGGGGATTAGAGGGGACAGCGTAATGGGATATCGGGTAAAACTCCTAAATGGGTGGCGGCATGAATGGAGTGATGGTCATCTAGGGTTAAGTGATAATGGGGGGTGTGAACGGAAGAGGACACAGTACAGACGATAGTACTAACCGTTGAGGCGAATGAGACCCTTGCCCCTCTTGCAGTGAGCCACTGCCACTGCTGTCTTCTGCTCTCAGGGTACCAAACAGAGGGAATTAGGAGATCAGAAGGGAGGGAGGAAAGGGACGTGAGAAAAAACGGGTGAGCAGATCGAGCAAATACAGCATGCGATTTAGGTCAAAATAAGTCCCTAGGGTGCATTGACGATCGCAGCTATCCTCAAAGTCGATGAGCGGACCACGACTCTCCGCGGGTTAACTCAAGCGGCTAGCGAGTCAGACTTGAGGGCTGACTTCCGCTAAACCAAGGCAACCGCCCCAGGTACGGAAAACTTTCTCCTCGTGTTCAAGGAGCCTAACGATATAAGAACGAGCAAGACACAGGCTGGTGCCGCCGTAAAAACGCATTAAATGCTGAAGGCAAAAGCAGCGCACCTTGCGACCGAAACACTGCACCGACTGCAGGAACGCAGAGATGGCACAGTCCCGGGCACGAACGAGCAACGCCACAGGAAAAGAAATGACAGGGAGGGGGGAGTATGAGAGGGTGGGGGGGGGGGGGGAAGGGAAGAGAAGCATTAAGAGATAGATGTCGAGAAAGGGGCAAGGAATAGGGTGCGGTAGGGCGAGCGGGGGGAGGGGAGGGGGGGGATGAAGGAGAAAGTGATGCAGGGATCGGATTGCATCGAACAGGAGGGTTGAGCTGGCGATGAAAGGAAAGAGCAGGTTGGGAGACAGCAGAAACGAAATCGGGGGGGAATGATGGAAAGAGAACGAACGGATAACTTCCAGTCCGCAAGAGTCACGATCAGACGAAAGCAAGGACTAACCCGCACGGGCAAATCAGCTCTCTCAAACTAGGCGGCCTAATCCAAGTACACGAGGAACGCTTTATGGGGCGAGAGTGGAACACGCATCAGGACGAAACGCCAGAGCTACACAAATGCAAAAGGCCCAACCACGAGCGCACCGTATCTCGTCGCCTCCGTCCCCTTCCAACCGAAAAATCACACCAACTGACCCACATAACCCTGTATCGCACTTAGCACACAATATCTCACTCCGGACACTACTCGCATCGCTCCACTACACGAATTTAATTAGCCTGACCGCTCCCCAAAGTAGACTGATTGAAGGTTGCGAACTTCATATATGACTAGAACGTCCCCTCGACCGCCATGGTTTCAAGAAGGCACCACCACACACTCAGTGTTCCTTGCCGTGGAGACTCACTACCACCCAAGGATACGAGAAATTGTCAGTTGCAGCAATACTCTGCGTCTAACGGGGCTGTCAATATTGAATCGTGGATTCGGTCGTGGCGTAACCGGCGCCATCACAGACGGGAGACTCCGTGCGGAATGACTCCCGAACTTCGCTTTCGCGAACCCCACCTCTCACGTTGTTCCGTTGAAAAACGACTGAGAAGTCCCACAAAACAGCACGCGGCCACAACGAAATGCCAGGTTTTGAGGCACCTAAAAAAGGAATCACCAGGCACTACCAGCTACCATTCGGCCCAGTTACAAACAAAAAAAGCGAAAAAAAACGACGAAGTTTTTCGATGTATCAATAGCCCTGTTGCAACAAATGACGCCTCTCCTCTCAGCGCCATGCTCGTCTCAGTGTTAGTCCAGCAACCGTGAGCACTGTGAAGCCCCAGCGCCTCCACCAGACGAAACCCTAACCCTGAAAAACCGGCCTTCGGTACAAATTCTCGAGCGCGGTCAACCGAACGAGAACCTAATTACACCTACGAGATCAGCTCTAGGTAAAGGCTGCACAGCTAAGTGCGATCCGGTTCGTACCTCCATGACTGGCGACAAGCGAGTGGAGCCTGGCGAGGAGAGCAAGGCGAGAGAGAAAAGGAAGGACAAAAGGAGTGCAAAGCGAGGAGTAGGCGGGAGGAAAGAGGGCTAGGGAGGGCGAGAGCACAAGAGAAAAGAGAGCGCGAGGAAGGTGTGGGAGGGAGGTGAGGAACGCAGGCAGGGATGCTACACCGCACAAGGCAGAGGGGGCAACCATGTGCGGTGGGGAAACATGTGCGCGGGGGGGAGCCATGTCCTGTTGCGCTGCAGGCAGAGGCTGGGGGTGGAGGGGGGGAAGCTGCCGTCAGCGGGGAACGGTTGTGGTTGGGTTGTGGCGGACCCCAACTTGGGGTGGTCATGAGGGGGTATAGCGCGGAGCACGCGGGAGCGGGGGATAAGGGAACCAGAGTTCGGGTGGGATGACGGAGCGGGTCCGTCTGGAAAAGCTGAAGAGGACTTTTGGGCTTTGAGAGTACCCACAAATCCGTCAAAAATCACAACAAGAGAGACAATATCATAAAGTAATATTGTATAATGGAAGCTGCAATTAATATCTCTAGCATTAGATACATCTTGTCCCTGATAAAGCATTCGAAGTTTTTTCGATTGATTAATTTCTATCCAGTCAATCCTGAAAAATAGAACACCTATATATGAGATACACAACTCTATAATTTTTAAAACCTTTCTCAAGAAAAAAAAGCGTAATTTTAGTTCAATAGAAAATAATTTTCTTGGAAATTTATTATTTGTGGACACTGGTAAAACATGTTCGCATTGCATGTATTTTAGATGATGTGATGTGACGTCTGTATTTGTTTTAACGAATACTCGTTATAAAACGGACGATTTCAGAGTGTCTGTTCGCTGAGATGACGTGGCGTCGTCGGACAGCTACACGTCAAACTTGAAGCCCACAGCCCTTGTTCCCGAGACCTATAGTGCGTATTCCCAAATTGTCTTCGTGTGCTATGCTCTCATTCTAGCAGTCCGCCTGATGGACCATGGAGTGGTGTCGCTGAAATCTGATCTGACACGAGGCGAAGAACTCACGATCCGGTTGCTGCACTCGACGATCCAAATGCAGTTCGCGAATATGCCTACCACGACTCAGGAAATGTTTGCTTGGCAATGAGGGAGGGAGGATCCTAGACGATGATGCATTCACAATTTCACATTCGCATCCCAGCGTGTAGCCCAGCGTCCGAACTGCCTCCATCCGAACTTTCACCACACTGTACCATGCGAATATCTTACTGCAACGACTTCCGCCAGTGAGAAGCTCTGTCCAGTGGAGAGCATTCATTTAGATCCGCCCCGCAACCCCCGCGTAGAGCATGGCGACGCGCTCCCTTGATTCTATCTTCTTCCTCTCCGTGATTTCGCGGCGCGCTCCTATCCCCGCCGACCATTCTGCCACTGCAAGAGTCCCCGCCTCGCAACCCGCGCGCCCGCCACATTCTTATGGCCGACGCGATCGCCCGCTACCGCGCACCTCCTCAATATCCGCAGTTTGTGCAGCACCTGTCGTTTCCGCAGTCTGGTTCGATGAGGACGTGGATGACCACGTGGACGATGCGCTTGCGGGGTGGGAACGTAGCAGCGCAGGTCGGCGCGGGGTGGGACGACGGGGGAAGCGCGGCGATAACGCAGAGCAGGCGGGATCGCGTGCGGCCCGCAGGAGGGGAAAAGGCCCGAAGCGCGATCGGGGGGGGGGAGTGGCTGACGTGGACAGGGGGGGCGAAAGGCAGGGGAGCAGAGCGAGTGGGGTTGAGGGCAGGAGAGTGAGTGGGAGTGGAATAAGCAGCAGCTCTCCCACGACTGGAGAGGCAATGGCGCCTGTTGCGGCGAATCAAGTGTTACAGGAGGGGATACCAGACGCCACGGCCACTGCTGCTGCTGCTGCTGGTGTGAGTGCAGCAGCCTTTGGTTTCAGGCAAGCTCAGTCAACCCCGCCTGGCACAAATCAACCACCAGCAGCAGCAGCAGCAGCCTGGCGGGTCGTGGGGGACGGACCATCTTCGCCTGCCTCCCCCTCCGCCTCGTTTGTGAAGCCGCTCTCCACGCTCTACCCTCGTGTGCCCTGCCGCGTCTGCCAAGGTGCGGGGTTGGTGGAATGTGTGGGAGGAGGGGGCTATGGCCAGGAGTATTTTGAGGCAGGAAGGGGGTGGGGAAGGGAGGGTAGGGGAATGGATCAGAGGGCAGAGGAGGTCAGAGGGCAGAGGAGGTCAGAGGGCAGACAAGAGCAGCAGAGGGGAAGGGAAGGCGGAGTTATTGATGTGGAGCACTGACAGTAGTTGTCCCTGACATGCTCCCCATTTTGCAACAGCCAGCATACCTGCTGCTGCTTCCCAGATCTGCCAAGTTTTTTCCCTTCCATTCCTAACTCTACCCAGCAGGTCTTTCCGGTTCCTCCTTCTCCCCTTTATCCCCTTCTTCACCCCTTCCCCTCCTCTCCCCCTCTCCTGTCCCAGATACTAAGCTGGTGGAGTGTGCGTGTTGCGATGGTTTGGGCACACTGGCACGTGGCGGCTTCCAGAAGAGAAACCCTGTCTCTGTTCCGAGAATCATAGGTACTTATGCTGTGAAGAGCATCACGTATGCTGTGTAGTGGCCATTCCACCTCACAGCACTCTCATTGCTCGTTTCAGTGCAAGTTGCTGACGTGTCAATATGCATGCAGAACCCTGCAATGTCAAGACTGGATGTTTTTTTCCCCACCACTCCCATGCTCTGACTCCAAGTGACACCTCCAACGTATCCCAAACTCCGTGAGAAAGCAACAACGCAGTACAAACTCAGATGCGATTCCCCCAATGTTTCTGCACCCTCCCACTTTCTTCCACCCACAACGTATCCTGCAGGCTCCAAGTGGACAGCCATGGAGCGCACCTTTGGCTGGCGTCACTTCAGGGTGGCATCCAAGCGGAGAATGGGAAGCACTGCTGCAGGCAGAGGCAGAGGAGCAGGGACTGGGGAAGCTGAAATGCTGGCGGAGAGAGATGCAGATGGAGCTGGCACTGCAATTATTGTGTGGGAGGTTCCTGGAGGGTCAGCATCAAGCTCGGATGCAGGATCTGGGGACGACTGGTTTGTGCAGATGGTGGCGACATGCGACCCTAACACGCGATTTTGGGTGAAAGCACGCTACCTTAAGGTGAGTCAATTGGGGTCTCTTTGACAGGCACAAAAAGCATGTGGCTGGAACAGAGGGAGGCGGAGACCTTTGGAATGGGAGTTGAGATGTAAGTGTTCACGTGCCCTTTTTTGCATTCCTGGCTACTTGACAAACTGGACAAGCGTGTTTCTGAAGCACAGAAGAACAGCTGTCCAGTATGAGAGTGCCACGACAAGTGTACTGCACTTTGTCAGGTGTAAAAATAATGTGTTAGTGTGCCTTTTTTTACCACTTGCTTGATAGTCTCAGTGTCTCCTTGCAGAAGGGCATCGCATGTCAGCTAGTTGCATGAGCAATTTTAGCCTTGACCTTTATTTCTACTCGCCTTGATTTCCTGCTCCGACCTTTTTCCATTCAGGATCGAAAGCACTGGGCAATGGGCTGGCTGCAGAAGGAGGAGCTGCAAGCCATGGGGACATCCTTTGCTAATAATGAATTTGCTGGAATTGGGACAGGAGTGAATGGAGGGAATAGTGATGGCTTGTCAAAACGTTTGGTATGCAAGGCATGTCAAGGCCAGGGCAAGATCGCCTGTCCCAGATGCAAAGAGCTGGCAGAGATGAGGGAAAAGGAGAGAGAGCGAAGGAGGAATGAAGGTGGAAGAGATGGGGCTGATGATGACTTCCAGGATGATGGATTGTTAGAGATAATTGAGGTTTGACACATAAACAGGGGATTCAATGGGCTGCATGGACTGGAATCTGTCACCTGGAGCAAGTTCTCACATCATTGCAGCCCCTATGTATTTTGCATGATGTTCAGCCAAGTTATCAGTGTCATAAGACTAGCTTAGCTAAGAAGCCATAAAATGGCATGAGGTTTAGCTAGGAGCTAGGAGGAGCCTATCAAATGTAACTTAGGTTGTTATTGTAGACTATACTGGTTTGTGCCTTAAAGGGTACAACACCCTAGTCTATACATCATTGTACATACACATTCTACTTCAATCATTTTCTTTCAGTTATGGTATCAGAGCATGAGGTCCCCCCTGCTGGACCGCCTACTCACACTTCTCGCGCTGCCATGGCGCCCGTGTTGCGCCGCTGGCCGCGTCATGCCGCGGCCGTCTCGACGCGCTGCCGTGGCATCGCGCTGTCGTGCCGTCGCTTCCGCCGCGCATTTCTCTCGTCACTGCCTTCCCGCCGTGGCGGCCATGCCGGCATTTCATGGCGGCTTCTTGAGGGTGTGCGGGGTTAGGGGGTGTGTTGGGTGGGTGTGTGACTATCAAGCCTAGGGGGTGTGTCAAGATTATATAAGTCATATATAATCTTGACACACTCCCTAGGCTTGATAGTCACACACCCACCCGACTCTCCTGTGGCACCACCGTCTAGGTCACCCTGCGCTCCCGCGCCTGCGTCACATGTCACAGCACGGTCTCGTCCTAGGCCTCCCTGGGTCGTTCTCTGAGTTCCCCTCCTCCCCTGCCCCACTTTGCACGCCTTGTGTCGAGGGCCGGCTTCGCCGTGCTCCTCACTCCTCCCCGTTTCCCCCTACCGCCGCACCGCTACAGACTCTGCATATGGACGACTGGGGCCCCGCCCCCGTCCATGGGCCGCGTCGAGAGCGCTACTTCCTAGTGCTTGTCGACGACTACACGCGCTACACCACTGTGTTCCCCCTGGAGCGGAAGGCCGGCGTGCCTGACGTTCTTATCCCGTGGCTTGTCGCTGCGCGTGACCGTCGCGGTCTCCCTGTCTTGCGCCTCCACTCCGACCGTGGTGGCGAGTTTGCCTCTGGTGTCCTTGGTCGTTTCTGTCGTGCGGAGGGTATCACCCACCTTGCCGGACTCCCCGCAGCAGAATGGGGTCGCTGAGCGACGCATCGGTTTGGTCATGGAGGTGGCCCGCACTTCCATGATCCATGCCGGTGCACCCCATTTTCTGTGGATGTTCGCCGTTCGCTACGCCGCTCACCAGCTTAACCTGTGGCCGCACCCCCAGCAGCCTCAGGTTTCGCCGACCCTCCTTTGGTCTGGGTCACCTGGTAACGCGTCTGCGTTCCACGTCTGGGGCTGTCTTGCTCAAGTTCGTGCCTCTGGCACGGACAAGCTCACTGCCCGCACCCTTCCCTGTGTCTTCCTCGGCTCCCCCCTCGATGCGTCTGACTGGCACTTCTACCACCCGCCGTCTCATAGGTTCTTTCACTCCCGTGAGTTCACCTTTGACGAGTCCGTCTCCTTCTTCCGCCGCTTCCCCCACCGAGGTCCCTCGGTTAACCCCCCCCTGTTCCTGGTCACCCCTTCCCCGGTCGTCGCCGCCCCTCCTCCTCCCCCTCCCCGTCCTGCCCCCTCTGGTGTGTCCCACGTCACCGCACTTACGTTGGTCGTACCGGTTGAGGAGTCTACTAACTCTGGTAGTCCTGCGGCACAGTCCTCGCCGCCTGCCCCTTCTCAGGTGTCCCCTCCTCCGCCGCCTCCACAGCCGCAGTCGCCACCGCTGTCGCAGCCAACCTCACCGCCGCCGCCGTCGTCGCAACCGTCGTTGCGACCGTCGCCGCCGCCGCATCCGTCACCGCAGCAGTTGGTTGCCTCTGGGGGTGCTGGAGTTGGGGTGGGTACTAGTCCTCGGACTCTCGTCGTGGCTTGTCCCGGCGGGCCTGGGGGTGGTACCGGTGCTCGAGGGGTTTTGAGCTCTGGGGGTGTTTCTTCTGGGGGTGCTGGAGTGGAGTGTTCTGGAGGTAGCCGCCCAACAGCTTGCGGTCCCGGTGTCGGCGTCACACCGCCGTCACAGCAGTCCCCGCCGGTGTTCGCTCTTCGCCTGCTCGGCCTTCCGTCCCCTGACCCCGTGGCCGTGCCTCCTCCTTCTCCTGTCTCCGGCCCTGTGTTCCCTCCTCCGGTTGCGTCTCCGGCCTGTTTCCCCCCTTGTTCCCCTCCTGTGTCCCCTCCTCTGTCTCCTGAACCGACTCCCCCGTCTCACGTCTGGTCTCGCCGTCCCTCCCGTGCTCGACCTCTCTCCCTTGTCTCGCGCTCTCACCCAATGTTGCTTCGTTCCCACGCGTCTCGTCCTCCCCTTCTCCCGTCGCCCCCTCCGTCCTCCCTTGTTGTTGCTTCCCCCCCTCTGTCTGATTACCAGCGTGCCGCTCGTCCTCTTGTTCCTCGGGTCCTTGCCTCTCTCGTTACCGACCCGTCTGTTCCGGTTTCGAGCCTTGACGCCCTTGTTGCTGCGGTCACTGACTTCGCCTCTACCCGCCGCCTTGACTACGCCACCTCTCTGGTCTCTGACCCTGCCTGTCCTCCGTCTGTCAGGGGTGCTCCTGCCCTTGGCAGTGACGTCCTGGAGGACCGCCAGTACGAGCTTGCTTTCCTGTCCGAGGCTGCTCCCCATCTCTTTTCCATGCTCCTAGTCCCTGAGGGTGACCCCGACGCTTTCGACATCCCGACCCCTCGCACTTACGCTGAGGCAGTCTCGGGGCCCTGGGCCTCTCAGTGGATAGCTGCCATGGAGCAGGAGATGGCATCTTGGAGATCCACCGGCACCTACGTCGACCCAGTTCCCCCACCTGGGGTAAACGTAGTTGATGACCGCTGGCTCTTCAAGGTGAAGCGCCCTCCTAGAGAGCTGCCTGTGTTCAAGGCGTGCTACGTGGCTAGAGGTTTCAGTCAGCGTGAGGGGGTGGACTTCTTCCAGACATTCGCTCTGACCCCGAAGATGACTACTCTTCGGGTGCTTCTACACGTAGCAGCGGAGCGTGACTACGAGCTTCACTCCCTCGACTTCTCCACTGCGTTTCTTCAGGGCAGTCTACACGAGCAGGTCTACCTGTGTCGCCCCTAGGGCTTCACTGGTACCTTCCCTCCTGGGACCCAGTGGCTCCTCCGGCGCCCCGTCTACGGCCTGCGGCAGGCTCCCCGTGAGTGGCACGACACGCTGCGTGCTACGCTTGCTGGCCTGCAGTTCTTTCCGTCCTCTGCAGACCCCTCGCTCTTCGTTCGTGCTGGCCAGACTCCGTTCCACATCCTTGTTTACGTAGACGACGTGGTCTTTGCCATGGCAGACAGGGACGCACTGGCCTCCGTGAAGGCAGAGCTGCTGAAGAGACACACCTGCACTGACCTTGGAGAATTGCGCCACTACCTTAGCTTGCAGATCTCCAGGGACAGAGCAGCCCGCACCATCACTTTGACTCAGTCACACTTGGTGCGCCAGGTCCTTCAGAGGTTCGGCCTTCAGTTCTCCTCCGCACAGCCTACTCCTCTGCCTCTAGACCACAAGCTCTCCGCTCCAGTTGTTGAGGAGTCAGCAGAGCCCAGTGGTCCTTACGCAGAGTTGGTGGGTTGCCTCATGTACCTGATGACTTGCACGCGCCCAAATCTCGCATACCCTCTCAGCATCCTGGCTCGCTTTGTGGCTACAGGCAGACATCGACCTGAGCACTGGTCTGCCGCTAAGAGGGTTTTGCGTTATTTTGCAAGTACATCGGGCATGGGGTTAGTACTATGAGGACGTAGGCTTGTGGTCCTTACTAGACACACAGACTCTTCCCAGGTCCTGTACGCTGACAACAGGGCCATGATCCTCCTGTGTCAGGAGCCTCGACTCGAGGGCAGAGCGAAGCACATTCAGCTGCGGTACTTCCTCCTGCGTGAGCTGCAGTAGCGTTGCCAAGCGCGCGTAGTACACTTGGCCTCCGGTGCCAAAACAGCTGATATCTTTATAAAGGCCCTTGCGCCTAAAGATCATCAGCGGCACTGTGTACAGCTGGGTCTCGTTCCTGTAGCCTGTCATTCGCTAGGGCCTTGACTTTGTACTGTCAATTAAATATATATATATTTTACCCAGATTGGCCTTGTGGCCTCTCCCAGTGGCTGGACTTGTAGTGCCGCCGTGGGCTTGCTCTTGCCTTGTCTGTACTCGTTTTGACTGGTCTTTAGACCCTTGTCTCAGAGGCTGGACTAGTAGTGCCGCCCTGAGCTGCTTCTTCCCTTGTTAGGCACTGCCCCTATATAGTCTAGGGGGTGTGTCAAATGTAACATAGGTTGTTACTGTAGACTATATTGGATTGTGCCTTATTGGGTACAACACCCTAGTCTATATATCCTTGTACACACACATTCTAGTTCAATCATTTTCTTTCTGTTAGAGCCATGGAAATGGCGAGAGGTTTTAGGAGCTAGGAAAGTTGAGGAGAGAAAAGAGAATCAGAATAGAAGAGAGAGGGATACAAGGAGGGGTGTTGTCCCCTCTACAGTAAAGTTCAGTAAGCCTACCAAGTCTACAATTATATACTAACATATATAATTTAACACACCCCCTAGGCTTGGTAGACACAAGCCCTCACACACCCACACCCCCTAACCTAGCACCCCCATTCCAGCCACAGTGACAGCGAAACTAGCTCGGTCGACCCCTTGGCGCGTGAGGCGGCGACGTCGACCGCAGGGGCTGCGGAGGCGACGGCGGCAGCGCCGGCAATGTCGACAGTGGCGGCGGCAATGTCGACAGCGGCGGCAGCGGTGGCGTGCGGCTGCGTGGCTCCGACGCAAGTGGCGACAGCGGCGGTGGCGGCGGCGGTGGCGGCGCCCGCACCTCTCGGTGACGTGGCCAGGCCCCGCGACGGTGGGACGGCCGGCGGGAGTCAGCCGTCGTCTGCGGAAAGGAAGAGGACACAGGGGAAGGAGGTGGGGGAAGGCTGCCATAGGCTGGCATGCGGGCGGCCGGTCTAGCGGCGCCACAGGCGTCGCGCGGCCGGCTGCAGCCCGACGACGCCATCACAGAGCGGCGTCGACTCTGCGACGGTAGCATGACGGCCTGACACGACGGCAGCGCGT